GCGGAGTGGCGCCTTTCGGATCAATTCAGACATCGTTTTCCACGGGTATGAACAGGCGCGCTACTGTCGACACCATGCTGCGCCCCTGAGGGGTCCATCGGATTGGCGCCAATGGCTGATCAAACCAGACCTCGCTTCCCCTTGGGCGTTGTCAGGCGCGCATCTGCCGCGTCTTCGTTGAGCCCCTCACGGGTCAACGGGGCGGTTGCGTCGCGCCCCCCCCGCGGGCGGGCGGGGGGGGCAGAGGGGATTTGGAGGTGGAGCGAAAGGGGAAGGGAGGAGTGAAGGAGGATAGTAGGGGGATCACGGCACGCTAGGTGCGTCCAACTCGCATCTGACATCATGCCCATCCTGCGCATCCCTTACCATGGCTGCGAGCGTTTTTCTGCTGCGGGGGGCAGCGGGCCCCCATCGCACACAACTCAGCAACTCGGCACAGGGCGCGACTGCAGAGTGCGGAAGGAAAACAGCAAGAGAACGAGACGCAACCAGCAACGGCCGACGCGTTTGCCGCCTCTCGTGGGAGCGGGGCCTTTGGCGAGAGCGCGCGAGTGACCTCGACCCCGCGCTTCTCGCAGGGCTTCCCGGTCCTTCTCATCGAGACGACCCAAGTCGGCGACTGCTAGAGGGCGACAGATGGCCAGCACCCAAGTGGCACACCGACGGCGGCGGCGATCCGACAAGTGAGCTATACACCTGAGTCGGGTTCTGAATTGCGGGCCACAGGAGGGGCATGCACTGGAGCCATCGATGCACTGCTCGATGCCAAGCCGGCGTCCGCGCTCGGCACGGCAGCGGCTGGCTAGAGCGCGCTCCGTAGGAAACCGCGCGCGGCACACCCCGCACGCATGGCCCGGGGCCCTCCCGGAGGGCGGCGCCGACGAGGGCGGAGGGAAGTGGCGACCTAGACGCGATTCTGCGAAGAATATTCTGTCCAAAATCGCATTCCACCTGGCAGGGGACCGGAGAATACCGAGCCATTGGTCGCGATCCTCGTGCAGGGCACCTATGCCGGGAACGAGGCCGGCTGCTCTAGCTCTCTCGGCGCCCGCCCTGATCAGCGCCATCGAAGGGAGTTCGTGCTCGGAGGGGCCCGCGCGCAACAAAGCGAAAAGCGGGAGGGGCTGGTTGCGAACCAGCTGGGCGAAATATTCCAAAAGGGCCACCATGAGGAGGCAGTCGAGTGAGGGCATTTGCAATTTGAGTTGCGCCTCCAAATCCGCCATCTCCACCTTCGTGGAGAAGCGGGGCTCGCTGGCGATCCGCCGCAGCACGCGCGCGCAACTTCCTGCTAGCTCCTGCAAGGCACGAGGAGACAACGCGCACGCGCGCGGGTTCCAGTGCGGAGTCGAGGTTCTGCTCGCTGCCGATGGGAAGTCACAGTGGACGGCTGGGATAACGGAGGAACGCGGCCTGTTTGGGTCATTTACGGAGTGACCATGGGTTCTTGGCGCAAGCATTTCTTGCATGCCAAAGTGATCGCGCGGTTGCCAGGCTGCTTCTTTAGCCGCGCGCGGCGCCCAAGTGGCACCGCATTTTTCATGAACAAACAACGCCGCGCTGTTGCGTGAGCAGCATTGGCATTTCGATTTCTCACGCACGCCACTTCCGATGGGCTCATCAGACACAAGACGCGCACCGCGCCCAAGCGGCAACGCAACCTTCAGGTATAATCAGCGCGGCGCCCGCGTGAGGGCAACCTATCGTTTTCCCGCGCGCGCCCCGTTTCCGATGAGCCTGGCGGGCAGAAGTAACGCGCCGCGCGGAAGCGACACCGCAACTGTCAGGGAAACTCGGGGCGGTGCCGAGGCGAGAGCAACATTTCGCCGTTTCGCACGCGGCAGAGCGTTCGATGTCCTTTGCGAACCAGGAGCGCGCCGCGGCCATTTGGAAACGCAACTTGCAAGACATACCAGCACGGTGTTCAGACGAAACCAACATTCCGCTGTCTCGTGTACGACGTGTGCTGCGTCCTTCTCTTGCCACGCGATGGGCAACGTCGAACACGAACGGCCCACGCTGACAGAAAACGCGACGGTTTTGTGCTTCCCAACTGGGGAACAAGTGTCAGGTGTCGCTTCGGGTCGTGCCGGGGCGAGAAAGAGGGGAATGTTGACTCATCGTTGAAGTATGTTACAAAATGAATCGGGCTATGCGCAGGAGAAGGGTGACGATGAGGGCGAGGACGATGACGACAATGATGGGCACTCTTAATAGAGAGAAACGCCGAGGATCACGGGTAGAAAGGTCAGGAAGTGAGATGCGGAGGAGTGGGTGACCAAGAGGACGGAACTAAGACGCGCCATGCAGACGGAGGATTGTGATGTTGATGCTCGGGGCCATAATTATGTCATGATGCGTTGCGATTTCTAGAGCCATGATGTACACGCAAGTCACGACAACGATGATGACAGCGACGCATCAGCCAGGAGGATTACAATAATTATGTTCGTGGTAGTGCTGGTGGTGGTGAGTCTGACTGTCACTTGAACTGGTGCTGTTGCGTCCAGACTGAACACAATTTTCGTTCGATTACCGCCGGAGCAGCAATATTTGGCCAGGCGCGAGGCTTCAGCTGCCTCTGGAATGTTCTCAGCACCCGAACGGCCACGACCACCACTGTTTCATCATATCTGGATGTGTCCGCCTTTGGGGATAACTAGTCCGGATACGTCTCTTCCAGGCTTCTAAGGGTATCCACCTCTTCGAATACCCCCCCCCCCCCCCCACCCACACACACCCCCACCCCCCGCCCCCGCACACGCGCGCGCACCTCTGAACTCCAGGGTTCGATCCAGGGAGCATGACAGGTGAAAAGGCTCCCCCAGCCCTTCACGTTCTGGCGATCCAGCGTGGGACGTTCGCCATGTGTTACCCGAGGGGAACGTTGGTGAAGGAAAGATACCAGCAGAAACAGCAGCAACGCACCAAGCAGAAGCAGCAATAGCACAATGAGGAGGAGCAGCAAAGACCAGAGCAACAGCAAAATCAGGAACAGCACACTTAGCAGGGCGAGGGCGAAGAGGAGGTGCTGCAGATTTGGCAGGGAAGGATACGCGTCAGTGTCATCAGGGTGCAGATTTCTGCCCTCGCCCTGCATTTCCTCTCGAGCAGGGCCGCGCGCCAAATTGGCGCTGGCGCGGGGCATGCTGGTGCTGCATTTCTGGTCCTGTGAGCTTCCCACACTCGGGCCCCCTGCCCAGGCGTTAGAACTCTCCTGCCATACTACCACGACACCTTATCCTTTCCCTTTCCCATGCCTTGCGATGGCCGGCACGGGCACGAGAACCCCAGGAACGCCAGCTCGTGAAGTTCTTGGGCGCGACGTCCGGCAGCGTCTCTTCAGCCCGCTCCACGAGATGGGCGACTTCGACACCCTCGGCCCCCATGGGGCAGAAGTGCATCAGATTTCTTCACCGGCAGCCCGGGCCCCAGACACGCCTCCTGACGCACGCAGTGGCGGCGCACCGGAACCAGCAGCAGCACAACTTCAGTCCCCAACACTTCACGAGATCGCCGCTATCATCCGCCAGGGGGTCCAGCCGATTCGCGCCGCAATGGCGAGCTTCGGCAAGCGCCTCGATGAGATGAACGAGAAGATCGACGGCAAGTTCAGCGACGTAGAAGACAAGATTGAGAACTTCGACATTCGCCTCGCGAACCTGGAGAACGCGTTTGGCGACGCAGGTGCGCCGGCTTCTCCGGGAAGCGTTAACACGGAGGTTTGGGACCACATCAAAGCCTTAGAAATGGAGGTATCGACCCTCGAGATCACCACCCACCACAACCCCCCAGACCCAGACACGGAGAGGACAGTCGTGATAGGAGGTTTACAGTCGTTCGGGAGCCTGGAGGAGGCGAAGGAGTGGTTGAGGAATAAGCTCTGGGATTTGCATGGGCCGCAGCCCAACGAGGTGCACGTGAAGGGGGAGTTTCGTGGACTGATCTTTGCTAAATTTCCCGACGGCGGGGATCGGGACACGGTGGTAGGCCTATTTCGCAAAGGTTCTATCCGGGAAGGGGGGGACAAGGTTTGGGCGAAAGCGGGCCAGCCCCTAGAGAAGCGCGTCCGCTCTTCATTCGCATTCGGCCTGAAATACCTGATGAAAGAATGGGGGTGCGAGGCGAAGGCGGCGCGGGCAGACCCCGAGGGCGGCAAGGCGTGGCTGGGCACGGAGATGGCCCCCCACGCGACGATCGACGGAGGCGAGCTTCAGGTGACGCACGGCCATGGCTGGGACTCTTGGCTGAACGACCCGGCCTACCCTGGCTTTCCGGATCTCGTGTCCAGGCTGAGCGGCAAGGTCGAAAATGGCGCCTCCAAGGGTAGCGGAAAGATGGGGGCAAAGGGAAAACCAAAAGGGAAGGGCGGTGGAGAACATGGCAAGTAGGGGTGCCAGCGGGGCGCAAGCAGAGGCGTTTCACAGCGCAGCTTCAAGGACCCGACCGTTTGTCCGGATCTCGGATCAGCTCTTCATACTCTTGCAAGTGGTTCTGTGCCGACTGGCTTAGCCAAGACGTCGCTTGCAGTTGCCCGGGGTGGTCGTTTGCTTCCCTGCAGCACTGAATTCACGACTGGTTCGTGGAACATTGAAGGCTACACTATTGCAAAGCAAGTGGAACTTGAACAAACCATGGAAGGAGAGGGCATCGGCGTTTTATGCGTTCGGGAGACATGGCAAACATTATCTGACACCTTCGTCACGGACACGGGGCACTTGGTCGCGCTGTCAGGGGGCGCCGAAGACCGGCCAGATGATCCGGAAGATCGTGCCGGCGTTGGCTTCATAGTCGCACCGTCGGTGCGCAGATCTGTCGTTGCTTTCCGCCAGGCGACGTCCAGGCTTGCATCGCTGAAACTACGAATTGTTGGAGACAAAGCGGCAGTGGTGTCCGCATACGCTCCGCACAGTGGCACATATTTCCTTAAGAGACAGAGTTTCTTCAATGAGTTATCTGATTTTGTTCGCAAGCTATCTGCGCATGGGCCTGAGCTGATCATGGGTGACATGAACGCGAGACTGCACGAGCAGTTCGTCGGAGAGTCGCTCGTGGTCGGGCCGCGCGTGTTTGCATCCCCGGGATCCGACTGCAAGCCGGATGCAAGCCGGCACTTGCTAGTGGAGGCGTGCGCTCAATTCGACATGTGTTTGGCCGACGCGTTCTTCGAGCTCCCGCTTGAAAGTTTGGCCACATGCTATAATGTCGGACGCGTCGCTGGGGGGGCTGTGAACCCACGCGCGCACTCGCAGATTGCCTTTCTAGTATGCGAGCAGAATTGGTTACATCATGTAAGAGCCGTGCGGTCCTTCACGCACGCCCCATGATCATCTCACCATTTCTTGCTGCATGCGGTGCTTCACATGGAAATGGAAAAATGCGCAGCCGAACAGAAAATCAATCCCGACTTGCGGATGCTGATGGAGCCCTGCACCAGGCGTTCCTTCGCGCAGTGCTTCAGCCATGCGCAGGAGCAGTGCGAAGAAGCAGCACCTGACCATGGAGATGTAAACGTAGCTTGGCCCCGGATGGTCGACGGCTTTCGCCAGGCGGAGCAGGCGACGCTGACCAAGGAGCGCCGTCGCCCTACGCGCCATTGGACAAGCAGCTGTACTCTTAATCTTGTAGCCCGTAGACGTGAAGCAAGACGGCGGGAAGATCCGTTGGAAGAGAAAAACATTGCGAAGCAGAACAAGGCATCAGTCGCACGCGATCGTGCGCACTGGCTCCAGAAATTTATAAAAGACGGCAATTGGGCGCATATTCGGAAAATGAAGAAAGGGCGGGTCCGACAACCTGGCAGACTCCGAGACAGCTGTGGGGAACTCGTAGACAGCGACAGGCGCGCAGACACTTTGGCAGAACACCTGGAACGCATTCAATGGGCGGTGCGACCGACCACCGTTCTCCCCGTGTGCGAGAACATCGGCCCGGAACTGCCCGTGAGGCAGGGTCCCATCCTGGAGTCAGAGATTTGGGAAGCCGCGAAGAAACTCAAGAATGGGCGCGCTTCAGGATTAGATCAGGTACCGCCAGAGTTCTGGAAAGCTGTGATCGAAGACGGGGAAACCGCGTCTTCGTGGATAGCCAGATTCTGTAATTCTGTGTGGTCGCAAACTTGCGTGCCAGACGCGTGGCGCAAATCCAGAGTTCTGATGATATATAAGAAGGGCGACCCTTTGGCATGCGACAATTACAGACCCATCAGCCTTCTCCCAATCGGATATAAAGTATTTGCCATGGTCATGCAACAAGGGCTGGAAGACGCAGGAGCGGAAGACCGAATATGGCGAACGCAATTTGGCTTCAGATCTGGACGAGGAACAGCTGACGCGATCTTTATCGCAAGACGGGTCATTGAAGATGCTTGGACTACAAAGCAAGGGTCGTCGTTGTTACTTGCCCTGGATTGGGCCAAGGCCTTTGACTCAGTGTCGCCCGCCGCCCTGGCGACATCGCTGCTGAGGTTCGGATGCCCGCGCAAATTTGTCGACATGGTAGAATCGATTTATCGATCCCGGTGCTTCGTCGTGTCTGATTCTGGCACGACGTCAGCTGAACGGAGCCAACACTTTGGAATATGCCAGGGATGTCCGTTGTCTCCTTTTCTGTTCACAATTGTTATGACCACTTTGCTGACGGACGCGCACTCCATGTTCCGGCAACGCGTGCCGCACGTGGAAGAGCCCCATTTCGTGAGGGAGCTGGTGTACGCCGACGATGCGCTCCTGCTCGACACCAACCCGGACATCATTCAAAGCCTCATGGCATGCATAGAGGGGCGCGGGCAACATTACGGACTGAACCTAACTTGGAAGAAGGTAGAATTTCGGAGGAGTGTATATATACACCAATCCATTCCCCGGGTGTAGAATTTATAGCAGTTTTTTTTTTCGGTGCCGCTTGTTTTCCATTGCTTTTTCGTTTACATGTGCTTCATTTTCCCTCTGCTGCACCGCGCGTCTTCCTCCTCATTTACCCACCTCCCCCCGCCCCCCTCCGCTCGCAGCCGCGTCCGCTGCGTTGCCTGCTGCATGCTGCTGGTGGACCGTCGTTACCATCCGCTGCCGTTGCTGCGAACGTCGTGATCAGTTCGGTAATCCCCTCGCACGGATCGTGCCCCATATGAAGCTTCATCGACCACCCTGGCAGGGGCGTACTTAAAGTGTCTCCGCGCTCATTTCGGCGCGCCCCCCAGCGCGGACTGCAGCCCGCAATGGGCTCCACCCGCAGGCTCAAGGGGGGCGCCCCCAAAGCTTATCCGCAACCACTGCGGCACGCCTTTCCCGCGGCTCGCGCCACTGATGGAATTTCGCCTACGGCCGTCGCGGGGGCGCTCCAAGTGCGCCTCCATGCCCGCGTCGGCACGCCCCTCGCGAAGATCGCGCCCATACAGTTGTGGCCCCATTTGGAATTTCCATGGCGTCTCCGCTCCCGTTTTTGGCACGCCTTTTCAAGCGGATGGCGCCCCACAAGGAGCGCCGCGTACAAGCCCAGTAAGGGCAGTCATATTTGCGCATGGCGTAATCGTGCAAATGTCTGCTTGCGTTTGAACAGATCGTGCTCCGCATGGCGGCTCCGCGCACGGCCCTGGCGCGGAGGCCCCCCCCCCGGCTATGTCGTCGCACCTTTCAATCAGGTTGTGCTCCCTGTGGAGCTTCACCTGCAGTCCCAGCGGGGGCGTCCGCATGCGGTCGCCCACTTTCCATGGCCACGGGGGACTATGCAAAATCCGGAAACTATAGGAGAAAAATCCAAGGCCCGATTGGTGTATAAAATTTCGGGACGACGAAAATTTCGGAATGTATCAGGCAGAACGGCCCGCCGAAATTTTATACACCGATCAGGCCATAGGAATTCGCCCTATGAGCCTCCCAGAATTTCTGTGGCCCCGGTGACCCGGGGCTTCGCTCCCAGCCACCGATAGAACCGGCCACAGGCAGGCCGTGGCAGGCGGTGGTGCCCCATTTGTGTAGGATTGGAAACCACATCACAATACCTTGACGCTCCGTTTTCGTTTTTTAGGGGGTTAGAGGGGACGGAGAGGGCGGCAGGGATACGGGGCCTGGATGGAGCGATTGGGGGGGGGGGATCGGGGCAGAGACGGGTGGGGAGTGAGAGGGAAAGGGAGGGGCTGGCGGGCGCAGGGAACGGGAGTGGGAGCGGGGAGTTCCGAGCGAAAGGCATGGGAGCGGGGAGGGGGATGGGTGAACGGACAGTGGGGGGTGGAGGAACGCAGGGGGGGGGAGGGAAGGAGTCTGTGAACGGAGACGGAGGCTGGAGGCGAGGTCGTGGCGGGGTCAATGGGGGGGCGATGGTGAGTTGGGAAGGGAGGGAGGGTGATCGTGGGGACGCGGGCCCGTCGCCCATATTTGGCTCAAACCCCCTTGGCGGCATCATTTCCAATCGGGCCAGAGTTTGTACTCCCCCCCTCCCCAATGTGGTGGATGGGTTGGGGTGCTGGCGAGCAGGCCCGCGCGCGTTCCCCGGCCAGCGCGCGGCCCTGTTTAAATTTTCTCGCGTGCCCGGCTACGGGCACGCATTCATGGCCTCGAAACGAGGCACCCCTCGCCTAGAGACGGCATCACCACCATGGGCGGCGGTTTTCCGCCATGGGTGCCGGGGCCGCTGCGGCCTTGCCCGCCCCTGGACAACGCGCCCAGGCGGGGCGCATGGCGCTTGCTCCCTCTATCGGCCATTGCGCCAAAACCGCTTTGGCCCAACACTCAAAACAAAAATCGGCCCGAACAGGTCGGTGTATATACACACGCCTCCCAGAATTAATGCGCGTCCGTAGTGCAGCACATGTGATCAACAGCGAGGGCGTTTCAGTGAAAGAGAAATCTAGCCTGATCTACCTCGGCACCCAATTGTCTGCAGACGGTCGTAGTGGGGTGGAGCTCAGCCAGCGTTTAGGCGCCGCCAGGCAGGATTTCAATGTGTTGGGTGCAATTTGGTCGCATACCACGTTAAACCGCACGCAGAAAGTGCGCATTTTCAACGCGTGCGTCGTGGCTAAACTGACCTATGCATTGTTTGCTGCGTGTCTGAACCAAGCAGAACGCAGGAGAACAGATGGTTTCAAGCCCAATGCCTTCGAAAGATTTATCGCGTCCCGCATTCTTACACTAGCATGATCTCAAACAGCACCGTGCGAAGCATGGCTGGACAGCCGCCTCTGAGCGAGCAAATCTGTAAACGACAAATGTTTTTCATGGGCAAGCTTGCTAGACGCGCTGGCACGGACCCCGTGCGTTTGTCTGTCTTTGAGCCTGATAGCTTTGACTTGCGAGCGCCATCTGGCCCTAGGAAGACAGGCCAGCCCCGACAGAGCTGGGGGAACATGGTGATGAACAATTGTTTACGAGTGGCCGGCACGCCCGCTCGCCTGGCTGCGTACTTCCGCCCGGAGGGCGGTGCAGCGCGAGCGTGGGCGTCGGCAGTGCAATCGTGTCGAATTTGATGCATTTTCCACCTCTGCTAGCGCACCGTCTGTTGCAAGGCTTCTGACTGACTGAGCTTCCTGACACCAGATACTTGTCCTGGCCAGCTCACTAGCATGCAGCCTGCTGGGATGGCGCCTCCGGGTGGAGCTCCAGTGAGGCCTGTTGGGATGGCGTTTTCAGGGGGAGCTCCAGTGAAGCCTGCTGGAATGGTGCCTCCAGGAGGCTCGGGCTCCAGTGAAGCCTGCTGGAATGGCGCCTCCCGGAGGAAACCCGGTAAGCCCTGCTGGGATGGCGCTTCCAGGAGGAGCTGCGGTTCAGCCCTGCTGGGATGGCCCCTCCACGAGGAGCTGCGGTGAAGCCTGCTGGGATGGCGCCTCCAGAAAGAGCTGCGGTAAGCCCTGCCGGGATGGCGCCTCCGGGAGGAGCTGCGGCGAAGCCTGCTGGCATGGCGCCTCCAGAAAGAGCTGCGGTGAAGCCTGCTGGGATGGCGCCTCCAGGAGGAGCTGCGGTAAGCCCTGCCGGGATGGCGCCTCCGGGAGGAGCTGCGGCGAAGCCTGCTGGCATGGCGCCTCCAGAAAGAGCTGCAGTGAAGCCTGCTGGGATGGCGCCTCCAGGAGGAGCTGCGGTAAGCCCTGCCGGGATGGCGCCTCCGGGAGGAGCTGCGGCGAAGCTTGCTGGCATGGCGCCTCCAGAAAGAGCTGCAGTGAAGCCTGCTGGGATGGCGCCTCCAGGAGGAGCTGCGGTGAGCCCTGCCGGGATGGCGCTTCCAGGGGGTGCTGCGGTGAAGCCTGCTGGGATGGCGCCTCCAGGATCGACTGATCGAAAGTTCAGGTTTCCATTGACTGGTGGCCCCGAGCTCCCATGAGGAGAGGGGAAGGGGAAGGGGATGCGACGGCGGGGATGGGGATGGAGAGGGGGCGAGGAGGAGGAGGAGGAGGAGGAGAAGGAGAAGGAGGAGGAAGAGGAAGAGGAATTATAGTAATAAGAATATGATGAATTAGTCTGACAAGAGTAATGATAATAATACCAACAATACTGATAAGACACATGAAGAAGAGGAGGAGGGTGGGAAAAGGTGGGAGGGGAGGGTGAGCAGGAGGGAATCGGGGGGGCTCGTGCAACTGTGCGGTCAGCCTGCGCCGGATAAGTCGGTTCGGGCTTCGGACACGATTCATTCACGTCTCCATTTCCACGCATCCATACCACATCGATTACCAAATCATTAATTCCATCCATACGTCCGTCGCGAGCCGCACCTAGTTCAGGCCGATCATCCACAGCGCTTCGCAGTACCACGTCCGTCTAGACAGACATGTGGGCCCCGCATGCCGTCCGTGGCCGAAGTCGGTACAGAGAGGCCCGTCGCGCTGCTCCTGCCTAGGACGCGCAGCCCAGAAGCGCAGGTTTCCGCCAGCCATTCAGTGAAACCTGGGCGCCACGTCTCCTTCGCCTGGCAGACCGCGAGTCGGCCTGCGCGAGAGCGTCGGCGCTGCGCGAGTGCTGCCAAACACGCGGCATCCCCCCCTGGCTGTCCGTTGCTGCAAATGGGATAGCGACGCGCGTCCATGCTGAGTAGTCATCGGATGGTGCTTCACTGGTGGGAGGGCAGGCGGGATCGGGTGAAGCAGTTTCGGGCTCTCCTTCGGGAGGTTGCCCCTCCCCTTCCCCTCCCGGTCTCCCATCCCCCGTTCCTTCGCACTCGCCCTCGCCATCCCCCTCCCCCTGTTCGGCGGCGCGTTCAGGGGGGAGGTGAGAGGGGGGCAGGCCTTCCCAGAAGGAGCCGGGCTTTTCAGAAACCCTCGGGTTTTTTTCGAAGGCCTCCGTGGTCTCGTAGAAGGCTTGGGAAGCTGCGCAGAAGGCCAGAGGCTTTCTGGGCCCTCTGAGAAGGCCCGCCCCCTCTGAATTCCCCTTGGGCGCGCCGCCGACCTGTCCCTCCGTTCTCCAATCCCCCTTCTTTCTCGCGCTGCCACCCCGCCTCCCCCCCTCCCTCGCTCCCCTCATCCTCCTTTCCCCCCTCCCCCTGTTTTTCTCCCCCCCGCTCACCCTTCTTTCTCGCGCTGCCACCCCGGGGCGCGCCCATGCAGGGGGGAGGCGGGGACAGGCCGCGCTCGGCAGGGACAGGGCTGAAGTCGTCGTCAATCCCTGCCCCCCCCCTTGCCACTGCCCTCCCTTCGCGCACTCGTCCATTCTGGGCACGACTTCCCTCTCTTCCCCGACGACGGTCTTCCCATGCACCCCACCCTCACTTCGGCGCCTGCCGCACTCCTGCTCCCTCCACGGCGAGTGTACAGCGGCCTTTTCAGATCATGGAGACCTCTTGGTCCCTGTCCCGTTCCTCCCCCTCCCGCTCCAGTGTCAGCAGGAGAACCTCACTTTCGGAGTCAGCACCGACGACCCCCGTGACAAGTCGGAGGAGCGCGTCATCCAGGTGTGCGGGGGTGCTGGGAGATTAATGGGGATGAGGGAGGGAGGGAGGGAGGGTGAGGGGAATAGAGAGAGGGGGAGGGGAAATGAGTTAGCGCATGTTGAGAGTCAGGGGTGATCAACCTTGCGGGAAGTGTCCTTCATGCACGTGTAAGTGTGAACGTATATACATATATATATATATATATATACACACCCATACACACATGGGCAAATTTATAGGATATAGAAATAAATGTGTATACTGCGTATGCTTAAACATTCCTCTTCTTGCAAGCCAGAGGGGGAAATACACCTCCTCCCAAAAACCTGGATCCTAGAATAGCCGGTTTCTGGGCCCCCTAGACATCATTACCAAGGGTCCCCCGGCTCGTCCCGGACCTCCCAGAGCGCCCCAAGAAGGACCCAGAGGGCCTCCAGAGGCCCCCAAGACGGCCCAGGAGGCCATCAACATGGCTCCCAGAAAGCAAGACTCGCCTCATTCCCGTAGGGATTTCAGCACATTCGTTGTTCGGGTCTTAGCGTCCAAAGCAGCCAAAAAGGCCGGTATCGGCCCAAGACGGTCCAAGAGACCCCCAAGAGAGCCTCTGGACGGCCTTGGATGGCCCCAAGACTACCCAAGGAAGCCACAAATGAGCCAAACAGAGGCCCAACAGACCCTCACAAGGCCCCGAAGCGATCAGGGCGGTGATCAGAGAGGCCGAAGAGAGACCCAAGACAGCAGAGCGCTCCAAGAAGGACCCAGAGCGCCTCCAGAGGCCCCCAAGACGGCCCAGGAGTCCCTCAACAGGACTCCCAGAACGCAAACATCGCTTCATTCTCGTAGGGAAACGTACGTTTTCAGCGCATTCGCTGTTCGGGTCATAGCAGCATCCAAAACAGCCAAAAAGGCTTCGGTATCGGCCCAAGACTGTCCAAGAGACGTCCAAGAGAGCCTCTAGACGGCCTGGACGGCCCCAAGACTGCCCAAGGAAACCCCACATGAGCCAAACAGAGGCCCAGCAGGCCTTCACAAGGCCCCCAAGAAAAGCCCAAGAAGGCCACGGGAGACTCCCCACAAGGCCATGGGAGGCCAGCAGGAGGGCCTACGTAGCCCCCGTAAGGTCCCTAGAGGGCTCAAGCTCCCAAACACGGCCCAAGATGGCCCCAAGACGGCTCGAGACGGCCCCAAGCCGGCTCACCAGGGCTCCAACACGGCCCACACGGCGTTTTCCATCAAATTGACCCGAATTCCGGGCTCGCAACCACAAATCCGGAAGTCCGTGGCGAACCCGGGATAGGGTGCATTCCTTAAGAATTATGTGCGTTCGCGTGCCTTGTTGCGACCCGCTGCAACATTCTTCGCCGTCCCCCGACGGCGCCCTCCTCCTCTTTCTGCCACTCCACCACTCGTCCTCCCTCACATCCGCTTCCTTTCCTCGCTCCCCGAGATTCCCTCCCTCCTATCCTTCGCCCTCCACCCGGCGCCTTTCGGGAGCCCCCAGAGGCCCGTGAAGGGCCAGGGACCGCCTGAAAACCACCGCAGGGAAGGGGCCAAATTTCCAAGGCCACTAGGGATGGCGCGAACGACCAACATATGCAAAGCCTCAAGGACCAAGGCGCATGGCGCGAAGCGCCACTGCAGTCTTGCATTTGTGTGTGTGTATATATATATATATATATATATATATATATATACGTATCCCTATACTTCTACCTATACGACCACCCTACGGGTGATAAGGAAGTTTGGGGGGGGAGAGGGCCAGCAATGGGCAACAGTGGTGATTGTTGTTCTGACGATGCCAGTGGAGATTGTTGCATTGCCGCTCGCTCTTGGGAGCCTTGGTGTCGAGTTGTTTACGTCACCCTTCGCTCTTGGGCGCCTTGGTACCAGTCCCCCCCCCGGGAATGAATGAAATAATAAATTATTCCGTTCATTTCGCAAGGGCTTGGGGCGCCGTTTGGGCGCGTTTTTGGGACCTCTTGGGGGGCTCTTGGGGGCCTCTTGGGGGGCTCTTGGGGGCCTCTTGGGTGCCTCTTGGGAGCCTTTCGGGGATGGCGCACGCTTGCTGTTTTTCCGGCCCCGCGCGGTCGAGCATCCGAACGTACAGGCGGCGGGGGCGGGCTGGCCGCAAAGTCTGGTGCGAGCGTCCGGCGCAATCACGATTGCCGCGGCAGATAATCATAATGCAAGTCAATGTTGCCCATGTGAACAACGACGGTGGCGTTTTCTGGCCCATAAGACGGGATCGCCCACTGCACCAGTGCCGTCGGTGAAGTGAAAGGGATGACAGTGATGCGGATGCCCAACTCCAAAACGGCCGACATCACGACCAACTCGTCCGCGTACTCTTTAGTTGCCAGTTTCTGCACCCGGCGAGTGCACAGCGCCTCGGTGCGCACGGGGCCCTGGACATCCAGGCCAGCAAAGGCCAGGTATAGTATGTTCTTCATGTCGGCACTGAGCAGCACGGCGGCGTCGCCGCCGCAGAACCGGGCCCGGAGAGCTTCCGCCACCACGTCCAAAACGCGAGTGACGCACGCCAACGTCGACACACTGCTGCACACCCTGTGCTGTCAGTTGGCTTGCCGCTTGATGGGCTGGAGTGTTGCCTGGCAAGGCCTGGGCCAAAACGTCCGGCCCGCGTTCGGCCAGGCCTGCTGCGAGGCACAGCCAGAAGCACGCACCAGCGGCTCGGCCCGCATACGCCCCATGTCCCACTGGGACCTGGGGCGTATGCGGGCCGAGCGCGCAGGTCTGGAGTGTTGCCTGGCAAGGCCTGGGCCAAAACGTCCGGCCCGCGTTCGGCCAGGCCTGCTGCGAGGCACAGCCAGAAGCCCGCACCAGCGGTTCGACGCGCAGGTCTGTGACCGTCCCAGACCTGCGCGTCGAACTGCAACTCGTTACGAGCGCGCTGCGAGCACTGCGTCAGGACTTCGCCATTCCCCGACACTTCGCAGTCGAGAGTCCGGGCCGTCTTGGCGCAATGGCGGCGGAACCGTTCGAGCGCGTCGTACTTCGTGCGCTGCGCGTCCAGGCCGTTGAGCAGGAGCACCAACGCTTACCGGAACTGGAACGACGTCTGCTCCAACGCACGGGTGATGTCAGCTTCGTTGAAGCCCACGTCGATCATGGTCGCCGCCGCAGAGGCCTCAGCCGCGGCCGGGGCCTCTTGGGGCCTCCCGGAAGCTTCTTGGAGCGGCTCTCAAGAGCCTGTTCCGCCGACGTTCGTACCGGGGGCCTTGGTATCAAGAAATTGTCGCGTTGCCCCTCGGTCTTGGCACAGCATGCAGCACGGGATGTCGATGTGCCTGGCGATTTGCAGTTGCATTTGCTTGTCGATGTGCATGTCAATTTGCTTTTTGAGTTGCATGTCGATTTGCAACTCATTATCGGTCTCACTATCGATGCCACGATCGATCTCAATTTCGACCTTGCTATCGATCTCACTCGATCGATCTCATTATCGGTCTCACTCGATCGATTTCACTGTCGATATCACTGTCGATCTCGTTTTTATCGATTTCGCTATCGATATCATTCAATCGATACCACTATCGATCTCATTATCGATCCCTCTATCGATCTCACTCGATCGATCTCGTTATCGATCTTATTCACTCGATTCTCCCTCCCAGAATGGATCTAGACTCTACCCCATGAGCGTTATCGCCCCCCCCGCGTCCCATGTAAATCACGTATGATTCTGACCACATGTCCATCCTATATCTGGAATCGCAATGTCCCAGGCCAACCGGGTCCCCCCCTGAGGTTCTTTTGTTAAACAACTATGCGGTGACATTTTTTGTTTTAGCATAATAGTATTGTTTCACCAGTCCCTTGTCAAAAACGGGACGAAGTGCACACGCGCGCGTCGTCGCGCGCATGCCGAAATCCTTCAAAAACCTTCGGTGCCCGAATGATTTCGCAATCGAATTTCCCCCCCAAAAAAAACATACAAAAACAACGGGTTTCGCAACACTCATTTGTTAAAAACACATACGCGCGAGCTCTTGCGAAATCTTTAAATAAAAAACCATCGGTTTTCAAACTTTTCACACAATGCTACCAAACGGGCTTCGCGCGCGCGCATGTCGAAATCTGTCGAACGCCCTTGCGCGTGCGCCGTTGCGAGAATCCTCTACAACAAAATAACGGGACGAAGTGCAGACGCGCGCGTCGTCGCTTGCGTAGGCCGAAATCTTTCAAAACCCATTGGTTTCGGAAGGATTTCGCAATCGCGTGTCCAAAAAAACCTTCAAAAACACAGGGTTTCGCAACACGGATTTTCAACAAAAGCGTGCCCGCGCGCTCTTGCGTCGTCGTCGTCGTCGTCCTCCCTCCTCCCTCGTCGTCGTCGCCGTCGTCGTCCTCTGTCTTTCCTCGTCGTCGTCGTCGTCGTCGTCGTCCTCTTTGGCGTCGTGGTCGTTTCCGTCGTCGTTGTCGCCGTGGTCGTCCTTCCTCCTCCTCCCTCGTCGTCGTCGCGTCGTCCGTCGTCGGCGTCTCGTCGTCGTTCCTCCTATTTCGTCGCCGTCGTCGTCGTCGTCGTCGTCGTCGTCGTCGTCTTCCCTCCTCCCTCGTCGTTGTCGTCGTCGGCGTCGCCGTCCTCCCTCCTTCGTCGTTCGCGTCGTCGCCGTCCTCCCTCCTCCCTCGTCGTTGTCGTCGTTGTCGCCGTCGTCGTCCTTCCTCCTCCCTCGTCGTCGTCGTCGTTGGCGACGTCGTCGGCGTCGGCGTCGGCGTCGGCGTCGGCGTCGTCGTCATCATCGTCGTCGTCGACGTTGGCGTCGCCGTCGTCGCCGCCGCCGTCGTCGTCGGCGTCGGCGTCGTCGTCGTCGTTGTCGTCGGCGTCGCCGTCGTCGTCGTCGTCGGCCTCCTTTCCGTCGTCGGCGTCGGCGTCGGCGCCGTCGTCGTCGGTGTCGTCGTCGTCGTCGTCGTCGTTGTCGTCGTGGTCGCCGAAGTCGTTGGAGACGTCGTTGGTGTCGTCGTAGTCGTTGTCGTCGGCGTCGTCGTCATCGTCGACGTCGCTGTCGTCGTCGGCGTCGGTGTCGTTGCTAAGTGCCATTTGGTACCTACCGTCACGGTCTCAAGAGGTTTTGCAAACCAAGTTGCGGGTGGGTGGGTGGGATGTTCTGCAAGAGCATGGGGTGTGTCAAAGCATGGGTAAAAATCAATCCCACCATAGATCCCACTATCGCTTTCACTATCGATCCCACAATCGATCTCACCATCGATCTCACCGGATCGATCTCGCTATCGATCTCATTATCGATTTCACAATCGATCCCACAAGCGATCTCACTATCCTTCTTAGTATCGTTTTCGCACCAGCGGGACACCGGGACACCAGCGGGACACCGGCGGGACACCGGCGGAACACCGCGCGGCCCCGTTTGCCGGTCGGGAAATATTTGGTCCGGCCGCGCCTCAGCCACAGGAGATTTACTGGGACACCAGCGGGACACCGGCGGGACACAGGCGGGACACCGCGCGGCCCCGTTTGCCGGGGGGGAATCATGTGGCCCGGCCGCGCCTCAGCCACAGGAGACTTTCCTCTCGCCCGCCCACGCAGCTTCGCCTCGCACGCACGCGCGGCACGCACGAACACGAAACCGAAACCGATTTCCCGGTGGGGGGCTCTCCGCTCCACTTCGATCTCACCCCCCAGCCTCCGATATAAATATATCCGTAAAGGCCTCGCCCCCTGCCGCCTTCCCCTTTTCTCTCATATAGTGGAGTATGCAAGAGCTATGTTGTGAGGTTTGGGCGCCGTCGTGAAGCAGCCTCGGAGACGCGAATTTTGTATAATGGACTGCGAATTATGGTCCTGGGAGCACGAACGCAGCTTAGTGTACGATGGTTTATGGCCTCGTGGACGCGAACGTTGTGTAATTTACTAGGGATGATGGCGTAGGGGCGCGATTGAAGGATTCTGGCTTCGGGGGCGCGAGAATCATGTATTTTTACGTGTCCCAGGACCCCCAAAAAATGGAGAACCCCCCAAGGTGGAGGTAGCCAGGGCTCGTTTCGCCCCCCCCTCTCGCGCGGACTTCAACAATTCACAGTAAGAAGCAGAACGCAGAATTGTATCCTCGGAGACTGAAAACTGGAATTGTTGTCGCTTCGCGAATCCCCACCAGCCCATCCAGAAACGATGCCCAGAGGAATTGCCTCGATCAGAGAAGTGGGCAGCACACAGAGGAAGCCATTATGAGACATCTTGGGATATCTTGAGCCATCTTGGAGGTCATTTTGGGCTCTCCCAGACGCTCTTGGAGTCATCTTAATCCGTGCCCCCCCCCAAGAGGCCTCCATGTGGCTAAAACCTGTGTAGAATCAATGATTAGGCATTCTCGCCGAGGCCTCTTGGAGCATCTTGGGTGCATCTGGGGGGGCTCTTGGGGCCTCTTGGGGGTCTCTTGGGGGCCTCCGGGGGGCCTCTTGGGGGCCTCTTGGGGCCATTTTGGGGCCATCTTGGGACCTCTTGGGGCTTCCTGGGCGCTTCTTGGGGCCATCTTGGAAGAGATCGATCAAACAAGAGGGGGGGTTCAATTAGCGCCCCCCCTCGGAAGCCCCGAAGAGGCCAAAATCGTCCCAAAACCTAAGGAAAATCAATGATTTTTGCTTTCTCGCCTTTTCGCTTCCGGACGCTCTAACTACCCGCGGCCCCCCCCGTCCAGGTCCAGGGGAGGGGGTAGGGGGAGGGGTAAACCCCTCCCCAAGGGGGAAGAGGGAGGGGTGGAAGAGGATCTGTTCTAGACCACCTACGCCCAGAGGGCTGGTGGGACTGGAACTGGAGCCTGATGGCCCTGCAAGGGGGCCGGCGGATATACACATGGTGTTTTTTCCCCAACCATCTTGTTGTGTTGGGTCTTCGTTTTGAAGAGACGGTGCCCCGCGTCTCTCCTCTTTCTTCCTCCCCCTCCTCCTCCCGCTCCTCCCTCCTCCCCCTCTTCCCTGCGCTTCACCCACCCAGGGCAGCGTCTCGTAGCCCCATAGGGAGCTCCACCGAAGGCCCCAGTGGGGGTGCCCGCATGCGGTTCCCCCACCCAGGGCAGCGCTTCGTGGCCCCATAGGGAGCTCCACCGAAGGCCCCAGTGGGGGTGCCCGCATGCGGTTCCCCCGCCCAGGGCAGCGCTTCGTAGGCCCATAGGGAGCTCCACCGAAGGCCCCAGTGGGGGTGCCCGCATGCGGTTCCCCCGCCCAGGGCAGCGTTTCGTGGCCCCATAGGGAGCTCTACCGAAGGCCCCAGTGGGGGTGCCCGCATGCGGTTCCCCCCACCCAGGGCAGCGTTTCGTGGCCCCATAGGGAGCTCCACGGAAGGCCCCAGTGGGGGTGCCCGCATGCGCAGCGTTTCGTAGCTCCATGGGGAGCTCCACCGAAGGCCCCAGTGGGGTGCCCGCGCGCGGTTCCCCCACCCAGGGCAGCGCTTCATAGCCCCATAGGGAGCTACGCCGAAGGCCCCAGTGGGGGTGCCCGCATGCGGTTCCCCCACCCAGGGCAGCGCTTCGTGGCCCCATGGCAGCTCCACCGAAGGTCCCAGTGGGGGTGCCCGCATGCGGTTCCCTTCACCCAGGGCAGCGTTTCGTAGCCCCATAGGGAGTTCCACCGACGGCCCCAGTGGGGGTCCCCGCATGCGGTTCCCCCACCCAGGGCAGCGTTTCGTGGCCCCATAGGGGGCATGCGGTTCCCCCACCCAGGGCAGCGCTTCGTAGCCTCATAGGGAGCTCCACCAAAGGCTCCTGTGGGGGGGGGGGGGGGGCATGCAGTTGTTCCCCCACCCAGGGCAGCGTTTCGTAGCCCCATAGGGAGTTCCACCGACGGCCCCAGTGGGGGTCCCCGCATGCGGTTCCCCTCACCCAGGGCAGCGTTTCGTGGCCCCATAGGGAGCTCCACCGAAGGCCCCAGTGGGGGTGCCCGCATGCGGTTCCATGCGGTTCCCCCACCCAGGGCAGCGTTTCGTAGCCCCATAGGGAGCTCCACCGAAGGCCCTAGTGGGGGTGCCCGCATGCGGTTCCCCCACCCAGGGCAGCGTTTCGTGGCCCCATAGGGAGCTCCACCGAAGGCCCCAGTGGGGGTGCCCGCATGCGGTTCCCCCACCCAGGGCAGCGTTTCGTGGCCCCATAGGGAGCTCCACCGAAGGCCCCAGTGGGGGTGCCCGCATGCGGTTCCCCCACCCAGGGCAGCGCTTCGTGGCCCCATGGGAGCTCCACCGAAGGCCCCAGTGGGGGTGTCCGCATGCGGTTCCCCCACCCAGGGCAGCGCTTCGTGGCCCCATGGGAGCTCCACCGAAGGCCCCAGTGGGGGTGTTCGCATGCGTCTCCCCCACCCAGGACAGCGCTTGGTGGCCCCATGGGGAGCTCCACCGAAGACGCCAGAGGCGCAGTTCGCATGCGTCTCCCCCACCCATGACAGCGCTTCGTGGCCCCATAAGGAGCTCCAGCGAAGGTCCCAATGGCGCAGTTCGCATGCGTCTCCCCCACCCATGACAGCGCTTCGTGGCCCCATAAGGAGCTCCAGCGAAGGTCCCAATGGCGCAGTTCGCATGCGTCTCCCTCGCCCAGGGCAGCGCTTCGTTGCCCCACAGGGAGCTACACCGAAGGCCCCAGTGGCGGTGTCCACATGCGTCCGCGCCACCAATTTCGGCGCACCCCTCACAAGTTTCGTGGCCTCATAGGAGCTTCACCGAAGCCGGTACCCACAATGCGGTACCCGCAAGTGCACATGGTTGGGTCCTTCGTCAGGCTAATTTGGAGCGGCACAGGGCCATACGACATGTATCTGATAGCCGCCGCCCGGCCTGCCGCACCCACACCATGGCGACTCTGCCATTGCAGAGCCCAGAGCTAGTGGCTGCATGGGAGGCCCGCGACAACGAACGAGTCAGGCTAGCCAGACGAGCTGGCTCGACCCACATCCTTGCGGCCGGCCAGGCGGTTACAGCCGCAGGCCGCCGCATAGGACGTGCAACAAAATAGCCGCCTCATGTTCGAATCACTTGGGGCTCCTTCTGGGAATCCCTTGCCGCGTAATGGTGGTCACGTGTGTGTGTGTGTGTGTATGTGTGTGAGGCTGAACAGTTAGTTTCGCAGGCTGGCGGGCAACAGTGTCTTGCGTTTTGCGTCTGTAACCCACCAGTGGAAATCCCCCAGATGTCTCACCAGCACAGATTCTCTGGCCAGCCCTGATCTGCCTGGCCCATTATCACGAGGGGCAAGATTCTCCCGCCTCTCTTTGTCCCGAGGTCTGCAGAAAACTCGGGCTACCTCAGAGGCTCCTGTCGCGCACGGCGCTGGCGCAGACCGCCTTCAATTGGTTGGAGGCGCGCTGGGAATACCACCAGAAAGCTTGCACGGACATGGTGGGAAGAGGAACAGGAGAACGTTGGGACGAGCATGGTGGGAGGAGGAGGAGGAGGAGGAGGAGGAGGACTCGCGACCGCCGACTTATCGGCGATGTATCGCCGGATTCCAGGTCGATGTTTATCCCATAAGCGAGTCTCCCCGTTGCGCCCGCCTCAGAAGTCGCAAAGGCATCCATACACCACCCCCGTGCCTGGCCAGGGCCGTCCTGGGCCCTACGATAGCGCGTACATCGTCTTGCCTTGACAATGAGGGCGTATACGCCATGCCAGGGCCCGCCCAGGAGAAATCCGCCGGCCTCCTTGTGGGGCCACAAGGCTGTAGGCCGAAGGTTGCAGTTTCCTGTGCCAGTTGCAGCTTCCAGTTTCCACTGTTACAGTTCTGCTTCTTGCTGCTTACTGTTCCTTGTTGATGGACCGCGCGAGGGGGGGAGGCCCAAACGGGCAGGTTTAGCACGCCTTGAGCGTGTTGTCTGAATTGCTGGGGTGGGTAAAAGTTGGCACCCATCACGCAGATCGGCGGGGTCAGGGTCTAACAACAGGGGATTTGCCACATATCTGAAATTCGGCGGCACCCCTCACGCAGATCGGCGGGGTCAGGGTCCAAAAACATTGGGGATTTGCCGCATATCTGAAATTCGATGGCACCCCTCACGCAGATCCGTAGGGTCAGGGTCACGGCGGCGCCCAGACCTCATGATTTAGCTTTTGCATCTCCCACTGTCCGAGACAGGGGGCCGGCGGCATGGGGCGAAGCCCCTACGGATAGAATTTGTGGCCAGATTGTCCCGGGACTTTGCTGGAGTGCTTGTCGTCCGAGGATCCCCAGAGGCCGCCCCGCGTGCGCGAGTCATGGATATGCAAAGATTCCGACGTTCTCATTGTTGGAGACCTTAGCGCACGCTCAGCCTCTCGGACTAGCGAATTGTGGCTGTCAGTTCCTGAAGCCAATCACGAAAGGACAGAGGACGACGAGGAGGGGGGTGGGTAGGAAGAAGAGGAGGAGGAGGAGGAGCGGAGTGGGCGAGGACGAGGAGCCGGAGAAGTGGAGGATGAGGAGGAGCCCAAAAATGGAACGTGGGGACAAGATTTATTCACCCTCCCCCCCTTCCCCCTTCCGGCGCCTGGGTTGTTCTGGCCTTGGTGGATCGAGTGCCAGAGCCCTTTGGAACAATGGCCGCCGTCGTCTTCTGAAACATTTGAGTTCTTGACCTTCGGGTTCCTTTCGAGGTCCTCTCCGAGCACGAGTTGCAGCTACTCACCTTCGCGCGAGGCCTCCGGGAGCTGAAATCTGCAGGCGGTTGGACAGGGGCGATGTCTGAGCATCCCGACAGGACCCGCAGCTCCCGTCCATTGACCACGTTGCGCTGTCCAGAAGAGGCAAGACCGTTCTTACCGCGATCGCGCGTGAACCAGTTTCGCGAAATCTACGCGATTGTGTGCTTGAGTGAAGTTGCGTCACGGGCACGTGTCTAATTGACGATCGAAGCAACAGATGTTCGTTCGCACGCGTGCCGAAAGTCTCGGCTGGAAGGTCCGCACCAACGCGGTTGCGAAAAGACAATCAGGTAGCCTTTTTGGGAGGAGAGGGTCTCGAAGGAACCAGAGTCGATGACACCGGTCGCGATGGGCACGCAGCTCTGCGCAGCCATTTGGGGTTTGCGCAGCGGAGTTTGAGAGAGCCTTGACAGCCCAGGCTGTCAGGACCAATTGAAGAGCGGATCACATCGCGAAGCTCCAGGCCCAACTCCCTAATGCCAGGATTGTTCTGCGCATGTCCATCTGCAAGTTGAGCTTGACCACGGTGAGATGATTACTCAAGTTACGCCATTCCGCCGACCGCTCGAAGAGGAGATGCGCGGCGTCCGATTCCGTATGTGTTGCTTGCCGTTTTTTGTCGCGTTGTTTGCATGTAGTTGTTCCTGATTCGTCCTTCCTCTCCTCCGCTGTGTTTGCTAGGCTTCTTTGGTACCTCTTGCAGGCCTCGGGGGCGGCCTCTTTGGAGCCCTTTGAAGGCTTGAGGACTGGGGATGGCCCTCTGGGGGCTTATTGGGGACCTCGTGGGGGCATGTTGGAGGCCTTGGGGGCCGTCTTGTGGGGGGGGGTCCTGGGCCCCTTCGAGTTCCCCGGGCCCCTCTGTGGCACATTGAGGGCCCATTTGGCCGTCTTGAGGGCTTATGGTATAGTCTTGGGGCCACGTTGAGTCGTCTCCAGGTCCTCCTGGGAGCCTCTTGAGCCGTCTGGACGATGTCTGGAGGGCCTGTCGGTCCGCCTTGGCCTTTCATAGACCAGGGACAGGGGAATGCGAAGATCTTTGAGGCAATCTTGAAGGTTCTCTTGGAGCCCTCTTGCGGCGTCTTGGGGGCCTCGGGCTATGTTGAGACCCTTGTGGGTGTTATTGAGGTCCATATGGCGTGTGAGAGCCCCTCTGAAGCTGTCTCGGGTGGCATCTTTGGTAGCTTGGAGGTCGCAGTGGGTGGATCTGGAGGCTCGGAGTGCCCCAAAGGTGTGTTAACAAGCTCGTGCCCCCTCCCCCTGCCCCCCCCCTACCCCAACTTTGGGATTTTGGACCCCAGTGGAGGGGGGCACTGGGAGAAGGACAGCGGATCATCTCACACACCTTGGCACCCCCCGTAAGCTGGGTTCGGCTTATTAGACTCTTTCTAGGATGCTCGATGGCCCCGTGCGAGCCCTCTCTGTGTAGCACCGTCATGTCACTCTTCGTCCCTGCGCTCACGCATATTGCTATCTGTGGGCCCAGGGGGGGGCGGCTCTCCGACGTGGCCGCCCCAACGTGAAACATTCTGCTGCCCGTGCCCAGCCAGATTTCGAATGGCTCGACATCGCGTTAAGCACACAGGCGAGCGAGGCGTTCTGTCTGGTGGTGGTGCTCTACTTGTCGCCTCGTCTTCTCAGAAAAAACTTGTTGAACCGTAAAGCAGAATTCGGACATATTCTGCACTCGAGCTGCCCTCGTTCGCGAGGAGGAGGAGCAGCAGCAGCAGCAGTGCAGGAGGGAGCTCTGCAGGGTCCTCTGCAGGCCAGTGATGCATCACTCCTCGTATCCTGGCGGGATGAGTTCTCCAGAGGCTACAACAAGAAACGCCGATCTGCAGTTCGCACTGCTACGAGCCAAGAAGTGCGGGCTGGAGGGAGCGAGGGAGCGGCGAGGAAGGATAAGGCCGTCGGAGGAGAAGGGAGAAGGGAGGAACGGGCAGGAGGGAGGGGTGGCGGAAAGGGAGGGGATTTGTTCTCTTAACTCTCCTCGTTGAGCGTAGTTGGGTAGTGTTTCGCGCCAAGCGCGCGGAACATGACGGATACCTCCAGATGGCGTTGAGTTTTTCGACAGGGAGAGGGGATATATGCACACCGGCCTCCAGGCGCGGACAGCGGGCTCCCGACCGAGACATCTGGTCAGACGGTACGCCAGAACGGGTCCAGAGACGACTCCGGAGATCCAGATCCATGACCACGCGGGCGGCGATTGGCTCCTGTCTTGACCCCGCCTTTCAAGTTCTTGCGCTTCCCTTCTGGAGTTGCAACTCCCATCGCACACCACACGCCACATAATCAGGATGCTGCGGCAACGACAGCCTGGTCTCTGGTGAACTCTCAAGCATGTGTGTCCGCCTTTACACCCTTCTCATCCTTGACTCGTCAGACCACTCTTGGCTCATCTTGGCAGTCCAAGAATGTCCAATAATCGTACACCCTTGCCGTGCATCCTTTGGTTGAAATTGAGCGCGCTCCCCTGCTATTCCGTCTGCTCCTCCTTGTCCGCCGTCTACACCACTTTCGCCCCCGTCTCCACCTTCACCTCCTACCTCCGCCACGTACACATGCAAGATCGGTGGGAGAGGTACGATGTCAGGCGTGGCGCGACCGCCCCTCCTTTGCCCCCTCCTTTCTCCCCACACCCATCCCTCCCTCCCCTCTCTCTTCGCCCTCCCCTTCTCTCTCGCCTTTCCCCTCCCTCCCTGTCCCTCTCCCCTCCCTTTCCTGTACCTCTCCTCTCCTCTCCCCTCCCTTTCCCCTCCCCTGGTCCCTCCCTCCTCGCCTCCCCCTCCCTCCCTTTCCCTCCCTCCCATTCCCCTTCTGCTACCCTTCCTCCCTCGCCGTACACTTCTGTTTCACCACGCCTCTCAAGCAGGCACGCAGACTAATAGAGGTCTTTCCTTCCATATCAGATAACAGGCAAACCGCACGCCCCGCACCCTTTGGACTCGCCCACGCCCCCATCGCCGTCCTCCAACGAGTCCTCCGTGAGGCTTCATCGCCAACCCCAACGTGCTGGCGCGGCGCTCGGTATAAGCTGCGTGCAGCGATGGCGTCCACCGCGCGTCTTGGCGCGGGCCGCCTGCGATCGGCGAAGTGAGCCTTCGCGAGCGACCGTATCCGAGAGGAGTCGTGTTGTGGACCGTCGCGAGGTTTTGGCGCAGGCCCGGCCAATTGCCGCGGGTTCGAGCATGCTGGTTTCAGGTCCCTGTGTCGTGATTCCATTCGCGCCTCGTATGTGCCGGGGAGCCTCGAGGAGATCTCGACCGTTTGAGGTAATGCATACGCCCACCCTGGGTTTCGACCAGCAGATGGCCACCCATGTCTTGACGACCATGCGCGAGTTCGTGGATTGCAAGGCCTCTTCCGGGTAAGCAGCGGTGCTGCAGCCTGTCGTTTGAGCTCGTCCTTCTGTGCCCTCCTCCATGTTTGATGCAGTCACCGGCGCGAGGCGCGAAACGCAATGTTGGTCTTTCGATGTGTCGGTGAATTGCGTGCGAGTTATGGTATATCAGCCCATCTCAGGTGCAACATGTCAGACTACATCGGTGTTTATCTCGCCCAATACCTCTCTCGCTGTTCTCTCCTTCTCTCTCTCTCTTTTCAACTCTCTCTTACTCCCACTCTCTCTCTCTCTTTCTCTATCTCGGGTCACCGTGCTCGCTCACTCAAATAAACAATCGCGTCCAGCCTCGCTTTGAATTCAAATGCGTTTTCGTGTACTTCTGTCTCTGCATCTGAATCACCCGCCCCACTAATGATGGATGTCAAGGTGAATGCATGTCATTGACGTTGTGCTTCACATAGTCGGATTTCCTGAGGCTCGCCGACTGACTAAAATTGGGTCTTCTCGCATGACTTCCCCAGTGGTCATACATATGAATATAAGCCAAGCGCGACCCCAAATAGGGGATCACTTCCTAAGCGGCATTCATTGTTTGGCATTGCTTGGCATTGCACTGTTGTGTGTTGGCATTGCATTGCTTTGCATTGTTTGGCATTGCGTTGCATTGGTTTGCAATGCTTGGCGTTGCTTGGCATTGCTTGGCATTTCTTGGCGTTGTTTTGCATTGCTTGGCGTCGCTTGACATTGCTCGGCCTTGCTTGGCATTGCTTGGAGTCGCTTGGCGTTGCTTGGCATTGCTTGGCAGTGCTAGACGTTGCTTGACATTCATGTATTGGTATTGCTTGACGTCGCCTGGCATTACGTGGCGTTTCTTGGCATTGCTTGGCGTCTCTGCAAAAACATGAAGGACACAAGACCAACTAAGGGTCCGTAGCCATTTTGGCTCAAGCTTTTTTTGGCTTCAGCAGCTTGGCCCACGCTCCCCGTGTGGCCCCGAAGTGGTGGGGGGCAGCCCGGCCGCTCACCGCCCAAGGCACGAGATCTGAGGCACGAGGCGGTCAGTCTCATGCGCAGCGGCCGCTGCAGCAGCATGCAGGGCACCCGCCCGGCCGACGGGACAAGGCTGGTCGTCGATGATCGCTCGTTGAGGCTAGTGGGCCTCCAGCCCGAACTCGGCTGCAGCAACAGCGACGGTAGTCTTGGGAGCGCCGCAGGGGGACGCCTCGCGCTGGTGGGGGCGCCCCAGGATGCGCGCGGCAGCGCCGCGGGGAGGCTTCCACGCGTGGACGACGATCAAGTCGGGAGCGCCGGTGAGAGCGACACCAGCCACGGATCGCACTCGGAGTATGCTCCTTCCTCATCGGGCAGCCACTGCTCCCTCTCGGAACTCAGCGACAGCAGGTGGGGGGTCAGCGACTGGAGCGAGCACGAGAGCAGCGGCAGCTCAGCGTCGGGCAGCTCCCACTCCGAGAATCACAGCCCTCGGCGTGTAGAGGAGAGCGAGGTCGTCGAGCAGCAGGACGCAGAGTGGCTGATGGACAACGAGGCTCAGCACGCCGCCGGGACTTGCAAGCCGTGCCTCTACCTCAGGACGGAGGCGGGCTGCGCGGCTGGCCGCGCGTGTAGATACTGCCATCTGCCGCACGCGGCCCCGAGCACGGCCGGTAGGATTCCTTGCAAGCAGCTGGTCAGGAGGTCGGACAGCAAATGCGGGGGCGACGCGGATGCCGTGCGGGACTTGGCCGACGACTGCCACTTGGCACAGCGACACATGCTCGGCGCTTTCCGCGAGAGGGACCCGCAGCAGGGCCCGGTGGGGGCGGAGCCGGGCGGACCGACGCAGGCTGCCGCTTGCGAGAAGCCGGAGCAGTTCCCGAGCTGCGGCTAGAAGCGCGAGAACCCGTGGGGAGCGGGGAGAACCATCACATGACAATGAGGAGGACGAGGAGGACGAGGACGACGAGGAGCGAGGCGAAGGGGCAAGGGCGCTGTGCGGATAGCCCCATATGACCCAAACGGCCACCTCTGTAGTCCAAAAGCGCACTGCGCCCCTGGCGCGCGAAGCGCGCCCAGGGCGGCGCTGGAGGCGCCGCCAGGGGGGCTCCAGCGCCGATGCAAGACATCCGCCATGACAATTAAAGCGCTGGCCCCTGGCTGTGCGCGCGCCTGTCCTGCGCGGGCGATTGCGCAACGGGGGTCCCGGCCATCCCCCCGACCGCCTGTTTGAATCCGAGGGGTTGGGGAAGAGGAAAGGGAGATCTTGTTAAACTGCCTACGTCCAGAGGGCTGGTAGGATTGGCGTGCGGCGTTCTACCCACACAGTCTCATGTCTGTTGCGCGCCCACTGGGTCGCGTCCACCGTGCCCGCAGTGGATCTTCTTTTGCCAGTTCGAGCTGAGCACATACAACTTACAGTGCTAGTGTTCATCGCCGAACGGACTGCGCCACCACTTGGCATCACTAAACGAAAACAACTAACTCAGGGAAGGCCGTTTACGAAAAGTAAGAACCAAGAGCAAGGAGCAAGGGGAAGGCCTCTTCAAAAGCAGTAAGGCAACAATTCCAATGATGGCATGTTCAACATCCGTATGAAATCCAGACCAAGGAACCTGGGGACCGCCTCTTCAAACACGGCATGGAAGCATGACCAAGTTACACGGGAAATGCCTCTTCAAACGCAGTCAGGAAACAAGACACAGAACCCGAGCAGGACAAGCCAGCGCAAGTTTGGCACCCACCGACTTTTCAAAAGCAGGGCAAGCCCAGTTATGGACACCATCGTGTGTTTGCGTGTGTGTTTGTGTTTGTGTGCGTTGCGTGTGTTTCAAGGCTTGTAGCTTTGGAGGGGGAGCCCGAAGAGCGGCACAGAGGCGGCATGTGTGGTATACACATGCAGACTTATGCCATATGTTGCATAGATGTAGTTATAGGTGCGCGTGTGTATATATGAATCTTCGTAGAGAGAGGGAGTTGTGCGCACGCACGCTTGTACACATGTTTGCGCCATGCACCTTGGCCCTTCAAGTTTCGCGGAATGGGAAAGATGATACAGCATCGTTTCCATATGTGGATTGAGGGAGGGAAAGTGTTGTGGATTGTATTGCGAAGGCCTTGCGGCCGGTGCCGCCGACCCTAAATGGCGACGACGACGACGACGACGACGACAAGCGCTCTTGGGGGCCTCTTGGGGGTAGTTTGTGGGCCTCTTGGGGAGCTCTAAGGGGCCGCTTGGAAGCCTCGTGGGGGCCTCTTGGGGCTTCCTGGGGGTCTCAGCCCGGACCTCATTTGGAGTGTTTTCGATGTTTCTAGGCCGCCCGAGGACCCCCCACCCCCCCCCACCCCCTCCGGGACCCCCCCCGGGACCCCCCCCTGGGGAAGGGATCAAAGGGAAGGGGCTTCCTTCGACTCGATTACGACACTGCTAGACTTTTCTCTCGCTCACGAGCTTGAGAAGGAAGCTGCAGGGAAAGGGGGCGACGGAGGCGACGACCGACGGAGACGACTCGAACAGCCAAACCCCTCGCACACGCCGACAGGGTCGGCGGATTTGCTGGGGTTGGAGTCCCCCCCGTGCAGGAGTAAGCATAGCATGGCATGATTGGAGCAGTGTTGACAGGTCCTCTTGGCTAAGGAGATGAGCGCGACATCATCAATCTAGCTACATGGTAGCGGAGCTCGGTTCCCACGCCACGGGAGCTGAGCTCGCGCGCCACGCGACCTCCCCGCCCGCGAGGGCTGCTCTTCAGCAGCGATGGCGGCGATCGAGGTGGTCGACGTGCGGACCGACATGCGGCTGCAGCGGTTCGACGGCGCGGATGAGAAGTGGGGAGACTGGAGTCTCCGATTCGAGGCCTACACCGCGCTGCTCGGCTTCGAGGAGTTCATGACAGCGGCGGGCCAGAGGCAGGACCCGCTGCTGAACGACCAGCTCGACGAGCGCGCCAGGCAGGTCAGCCAGCGTCTGTTGCACCTGCTGATCACTTATTGTGAGGGCAAGGCGATGGGAGTGGTCAAGCTCTCGCGCAAGAACGGCCTCGAGGCGTGGCGCCAGCTCAAGAATGGGTACGAGAGCCGTTCAGGGAATCGTTGGACGGCGATGCTGCGGTTCATCCTGAGCCCGCAGGACAAGTGGGCTAAGGATCGCGAGGCGGGCATCGACTTCTTTCAATCGCTTACCGCCTGGGAGGCGATCGTGGCCGAGTATGTGGACCAGAGTGGCGAGGCAGTCTCGGACAATGTTAGGGCGAGCGTGCTGCTTGAGCGCGCGCCAGATCCATATCGCGAAGTTCTGCGACAGGCCCCAGAGGAGGTGGGGCTCACGTTCGGCGCAGCTCGCAGCCACATCAGGGGCTACTACAATCAGGGAAGGACCTTCACACGCGTCCCAGACGTGGGCGGGGTCGTGCCGATGCAGGTGGGTGCGTTTCGCGCCGGGCTTCCCAGTGGCAAGGCCAGCGGCAAGGGCAAGACGCACAAGTCGGACAAGTCAGGCGGGAAGTCGGGCAAGTTCCAGAAGGGCAAGGACTCGAAGACCAAGTCCAGGGCTCGCGACGGCGGCAAGCACGGCAAGAGCCAGACGGAGTACTTTGACGGCGAGTGCGGCTACTGCTGCAAGTGGGGCCACAAGCGGGCCGACTGCAGGAAGAAGAAGGCCGACGACGCGAAGAAAGAGCCAGATCACACTCGAGCGGTTCAAGGCGACGCAGCCTCGTCATCAGGCCAGCAGCCAGCGGATGGCACGGCGAAGGCGGCGTCGGGCTACTACGACGGCACACCCGACGGCTGGGCGTTCGCGGTCACGGCGGGGACAGGCGGCAAGGTGGCGAAGGTCGGCGGCTCCATCCAGATCGACGGCGGCAGCGACGGACGCGCCGAGGCTCTTTGACGTGCAGCAGCGTCCGCTACCGACGGCAGGCCTGAGGGGAGTTGAGATGGCCATGAAGGAGGGCATCAAGGCGACGGCAGACTTCCTCGTTGCTGACGTGAACGATGATCTGCTGAGCATGGGGAGGCTGCTCAGGCAGGGCTCCAGGTTCAACCTCAGCCTGGAGGGCGGGCTCTACATGACGAACGGCCATCGCAGCGTGCAGCTCGAGCCGGGGAGGAACAGCCTCAGGCTCCCGATTGTCTCGGGTGGGCCTGCAGCCGAGGCTCACCATTGCCGCTGCGCGGCAGAGCGGCAGGATGCGGCGACGGCTCCTGTGCTCAACGCGGATAGCTCGGTCGGCGCGATGGGGGCCAGGCTGAGGGAGCTGTTCATGCCCATCTACGGCACCAAGGCGGAGCACTGGGACAGGCTCATCGTGGCGGAGGCAGCGGCCAAGCGATCGGAAGCTGAGAGGGCGCGCAAGCAGGCAGTCAAGGAGCAGCTCGGGATCCAACGCGACCCCGTCGAGCCTAGGCAGCTACCCGTGCCGAAGGCTCCGAGTGCTGAGGAGGAGAGGCAGCGCCGCCTCGCCCATCTGCCAGCCGCGCCCCGGCGCGAGGAGTGCATCCGCGGCAAGGCGCCCGATGCCCCCCACGCCCAGGTCACGCTCGAGGACTCCGAGCGGAAGGCGCCGCTCATCAGCCACGACTTCGGCTTCTGCAAGACGGCTGATGAGGACGGGGGCTCGACGAAGGTTGAGGACACATGCGCGACGATGCTCGTGGGGTTCAGCTCGGACGCGGGAGTAGTGAAGGTTCTTCCGTGCCCATCGAAGTCGGCATCGCCACGCGCGATTGCAGGCATCAAATCGTCCGCGCAGCGGCTCGAGACGGGGAAGTGCAGACTCAGGACCGACTCCGAGCCTGCGACGAAGGCAATCCTGGACGGGGCGGTCGCAGAGCTGACGGGCGAGGCCACTCCAGAACTGACGCCCAAGCACAGCAGCCAGTCGAACCCAGCGGAGGCGGCGGTGAAGATCGTCGAGGGCCAGACGCGAGCCCTCAGGCTGGATCTCGAGAAGCGCTACGGCACCAGGATCACCGCGGCGATGCCGATCTGGGCCTGGATGATGCGCCACGCTGGGTGACTACACGAACGGCACTCGCGACGGGCTGGAGGACAGACCCCACATGAGATAGCGACAGGCACGCCCTACAAGGGCGACATTTGCAACTTCGGCGAGACGGTGCTGCATCGAATAGCTCGTTCAAAGCATCGAGGACTTGGTGGAGGGCGGCGGCTGCACCGCGGGGGGGCGCAGTGGGGCCGTGGGATTTGGGTCGGCAGATCCGACGAGTCCCAGGAGCATCTGATGATGACGCCGCAGGGGGTCGATCGAGCTCGGACAGTGCGACGGCTACCTGAGGGCAGACAGACCGGCAAGGACCTCTTGCTGTCGGCGACGGGCCTCCCCTGGGCGCCGAGGACGGCGCCCGAGAGGTCGAGGCGACGACGGGCAGCCCCGCACGTGGCGACAGAGATCCCGAGGGCGGAGGAGCAGCAGCAGCAGCAGGCACAACCGCAGGCAGGGCCACCCGAGGGCGGAGCGGACTCTGCTCAGCCCCAGGCCCCGCCGCAGGCCCCAGGCCCAGCGGCGGCGGCGAGCCCGCCGCAGCCACAGCCGCAGCCCCAGCAGCCGGCGCCGCCAGCGCCACGAGACGCGGCCATCGGGGCGCCGCCCCTGCAGGCAGCGAGGCGCGGGATGCCGCCGGAGGCGGAGGCCGCAGAGAGCAAACGAGCGCGGGTTGCAGCGGTTCACGAGCTGGACGTCGGCAACGTAGACGACCCACCCGACGCGTTCTGGGAGGAGATCTCGGACGAGGTCGAGGACCCGACCGAGGGCACGTTCGACGTGGGCGCGCAGGACGAGCTGGACAAGAAGCTCACGCTGGAGAACCTGCAGAGCCTCTTGGACCACGGCGTCGGCGAGGACATCCCCAAGTCGGAGGCAAGGGGAATGAAGCACATCGCCACCCGCTGGGAGAACCAGTGGAGGTGGAAGCCAGCGCGACAGGAGTGGCAGCGCAAGGTGAGGTTCGTCTGCCGTGAGTTCCGCTGGCAGGAGTGGCGCGACGACCTGTTCACGCCAGGATCGGCTCCGATCTCCAATAGGCTCATCGACTTCGTGGCTCTCAAGCGCGGCTTCGAGGTGATGGCGCTGGACGCGACGGACGCCTTCTACCAGGCGCCCGAGCACGAGGACGTGGTGGTGGATCCACCGCAGGAGTACCTGGACAGGCTGTAGGCAGAGGCCAGGATCACGAACATCTACTGGAAGCTGAAGAGACAGCTGCCGGGCAGGCGCACGGCGTCGCCTGGCTGGGTGGAGCACATGGCGGGCATCCTCACGGACGAGATGCGCATGACGAGGTGCGAGGTGGCCCCTCAGTTCTTCTACAACTCGGAGACTGAGGTGGTGGTCGAGCTCCACATGGACGACCTGCACATGGCAGGACCGAGGGGCGCGCTGGAGGGCTTCCGCGACGAGCTGGGACAGCGCGTGACCTTCAGCGGCGGCGAGATCCACGAGCACGGCACCACCTACGAGCACCTGAAGAGGCTGAGGGCGCGGTTCGAGCACGGGACGGAGCTGGAAGCGAACCCGAAGTACTTGGACTACGTGGCGGGGGCCCTCGGCCTCGGGAACTCGAACACGGCGCCCGCGCCAGGGGTGCCAGGTCACAAGGCACTCATGGGGGGCACCTCTGCCCTGTCTCCCGTTCAGGCTGGCATCTACCGATCTTGCGCGGGGGCGCTTATGTACATGCCCAGGACAGGGCGGACTGCCAGTGTGAGGTGAGCTTGCTAGGGCGGATGCTGTCGGGCCCCGCCGTCGGCGCCTTCACCGCGCTCAAGAGGCTGGCCAGGTACCTGATGGGTACGAGGGGCGCGGTGACCTGGCGACCGAGGCCGACGGAGGGCTCGAACGCGGAACTGGTGGGCTACGGCGACAGCGATCGGGCAGGTGACTTGCAGACGGGGAGGTCGCAGTCGAGCGGCAATATCGAGATTGACAACGCCCCCATGCACTCCTTCAGCAGGCGCCAGGGGATCGCGGCGACCAGCTCGGGAGCGGCAGAGTACTACGCGGCGACGGCGGTCGCCGAGGACCTCCTTTACTTCAAGTCGCTCCTGGAGTTCATGTGCTTCGCGGTGGCGGCTACTCTCTTGACGGACTCGTCGGCGGCCCGAGGGATTGCCAAACGCGAGGGAGTTGGCAAGGTCAGGAGCCTGGAGGCGCGCGTGCTTTGGCCCCAGCAGGCGATCAAGCGGAAGCTGATGGACCTCGGGGCCGTCGGCACCGACGACAACAAGGCGGACTTGGGCACGCAGATCCTCGGGCACGAGCGCTTCGTTGAGCACAGGGCGATAAACGGCATCCACACGGACATGGGCCAGGTCGCCGAGAGCGACCACCAGTCGGAGGAGGTGGACTTCGGTGCGGGGGCGGCGGCTCGGGTTCGGCGCGCCAGAGGCGTGGCCACATCACCGAGTGTGAACCGCCCAGCGGCCCTGGCGATGATTGCGGCGGCGGTGGCGCTCCTTCAAGGGTGCGAAGGACCCGCCGCCGAGCACGACGGTTACTACGACACGGAGGTTTGCCCCAAGGACGACGCGGTCGCGAGTGACTGGACGAACTATTGGCTGGTGGTGGTCGTCTGGACGCTGGTCGTGGCCACCGTCTTCGGCTACGCGGGGTTCCGCTACGCCAGCTGGGGGGGGGGGGGGGGACAGAGTGGCTCGTTGTCCCGACCGAGCCCGATGACGCGAAGGACGAGAAGATCGACTCAGGCATCGGCTGCATGTCAACCACATCGACCAAGTCGATGGTGGAGCAGAGCAACCAGACGAGGAGGACGGTTGGCACACAATCGCAGACAACGTACAAGTGGAGATGGGCTGCTCCGCGTTTCCAGCCACTGTCGATGAGCATGCACGGTGCCTTCCTTGAGGTGCGTGCTGGGAGTAACGGCAAGGCCAGAGGACTTTTTCTGTACTGAGGCTCAGGGTGAGGACCTTGAGCGGCTACGCGTTGCACTGTGAGAGAGGACAGTGCGAGATTTGCTGAGCTCACGCTCTATCCGCCATGCTTAATACTAGTAATTTTCTCCTTGGAAGCTGAACCGATCAAGCGAGTCCACTCGAGACGCTCAGACCCGTTGTGGGACAGCGCTCTGATTGTTATGCTTATCTAGCCTGGGGGACGCCCCAGCCCAGTCTGCATCTTTTCGGGAGTCGGTTGAGAGCTCGACTCTAGGCTCGCGCCGAGCTTCCAAAGGGGGCGTGTTGTGGATTGTAGTTGCTGGGGTTGGAGACCCCCCCGTGCAGGAGTAAGCATAACATGGCATGGTCGGAGCAGTGTTGACAGGTTCTCTTGGTTCAGGAGATGAGCGCAACATCATCAATCTAGCTACAGAAGCCAATAACAATACACAGATCCCTTCTTCCCGTTTTCGTTATCGTCGTCTTTCTAATGTTCTGCTTTCTCCTTCTCCTCGTAGTTATGATGCCCCATCTCGTTTCAGCCCTTCCCTGAGAACCATTGCCTGCATTCCTTATCATTCTTTGTGCGAAGGCTCATGCTTGGAGGGTCCCTCCGAGGCCTCACGAAAGCTTCTTGGGAGCTTTTTGAGGGCCTCTCGAGGCCTACTGGGCGCGTTTTGGAGGCCTCTGGGGGCTTCTGTGGGCCCCCACTGCTGCCAACCACGGTTTCCCTTAACGACCGGGCCACGATTTGGAGTGGTTAAGGGAGCGTATTCGAATCATCTTGGGCCGTCATAGGGCTCTCGTCGGGCTGTCTTGGGGCCCTGTTGGCCCGTATTGGGGCCCTGTTGGACGTTGTTACATCAGTTTTGATGTAGTTGTCGGGAACTCTTGGGTTGGCTCGGAAGCTCAGAAGACCAACGAACCGAGTAACCGAAAATCATACAACGACATGGGAACACAATGTGTTGTGCACTTGGAGGGCCTTGGCTGTCTTCTTCAGATCGTCTTCAGGCGTCTTAGGTGTATGGGGCCGCTCTGGACTCCTCCAAGGCAGTCCGTCTGAGCGCTCTGGACCCGTTTTCGAGGCCCGGCAGGGGCGCCCAGGAGCCCTAGAAGGCCTAGGGGACGCAGGGAGGCCGAAATTCGTTCAGGTTAGGTGGGACTCGGTGTGGTTGGCCCCGCATTGTAAAGATGCCAGGTTCCCCGCAGTTGCAGATACGAGTGGAGGGGCGAGGGGGGCTCGCCGGCAGCTTGCGAGGCTGAAGTTCAAAAATCGGGCTGGGCGGGGCTTGAAGTACACTTGTATAGAATGTGAAGAAGACTCAGGCGATAGCACGCTTCTTGATACAAATTCAAGGGATTATCGTGCAAGAGCGCGATTCTTGTGAGAGAAGAGCGCGTCGCCTGGATATATTGTGAAGAAGTCTCAGGCGAGAGCGCAGTTCTGAATTACGTGCAAGGATGTCTGAAGCGAAAGCGCGATTTTGAATGAATAGCGAGGAGGGGATCTGGCTGGAGCCGTTGTTGTGGCAGTCCGGGGGGCAGGGCGCAGTTTGAGCTGGAAGATTTGCGCTGATAAAAAAGAGGGGCGATCCCCCAGGGGGGGGGGCACTTCACGTGAAAAAACACAGTAGACAGCAGCGGGGGATCAACACGAATCGGAACTGAGAGTTCAACAAGAATCCGCACCGCGGAAGCCCACTTCAGCTACGCACCCAGGGACAATGTAAGACCGTTCGGCCCCCTCACTCATATCTAGACGTGAATACTTGCAGAATCTAACGTGCATAACGCTCCCACGTGGCAACGGGACCTTCCTAAGAAACCTTTGCCAATGCCAAAATCGTTGAACAACCTATAGTTTGTCATTGTGGTTTGCCATCTCGCTTTTCCCTGTCCGAGGGGTTCCTAATGTATCAACATGGTTTTAAGATCGTCCAAAAGGCTCCAGTACAGGCTCTAATATAGTTCCACGGACGCCCAACGAGAGCTTCATGACATGGCTCTCTGGGCTACGACGGGGCGAGGCTAATTCGTGACACCCTCTTTTGTTGATCGAATTGCTCAAATATGACTGGATTCCATATTGAGCCAAGTTGGGGCATCGTACGCCATATTGCAGGCCATCCTGGGGCGCACGGGGCCATCTTGCAGCCATATTTGCCCAACGGCCTTCCAACGATGCCCTCGAAATGTAAAACAGATTCAACACGTATCAGAGGTAAGATGGGGTGGGGAAGGGTTTAATTAACGTTGCCCCTTAGGAGCCCGATCAAGTCACCTCTTGGAGCCGTCGTGGGACGCTCTTGAGTGCTTCAAACTATCTTCATAGCCGCCTTGGGTCCCTTCTGCGCCCGTCTCGGGGCTCTTCTTGTGCGACCCTGGAGTCATCTTGAGGCCTCAGACGCCAGTCGGATGCGATAGAGTGAGAAGGCACATCACAATGAACATCCACATGTTTTGAAGACTGTTGGCCTATTGGGGGTATCCTTTGGGAGGCTTCGTGGCCACCTCGTGCCATTGTGGGGCAGTCTTGGAGCCTCTTGGAGGCGTTCCGGGAGCCGCATTGAACCATGTTGAGGTACATTTCGCCACATTGGAGGCTATTTTGGGATATGTTGGGCCATTTGGGAGCCTTTGGGGCCAAAAGGGACCTTCTACACACATCCCCCTGGGCAAACCCAGAGTAGGGGAAGGGGAGGGATGAACCTCTCCCCGAAGGGGAAGACAGGGTTTATAATAGGAAGCGCCCTAAACAGCCTACATCTAGAGGGCTGGTGGGATTATCACACTTCGATAATCGAGCAGTGCCTCCAGACGCCATGGAGCAGGTGACGCACGCAGGGTGGGTGCTGGATCCCTCAGACGGCCAAGTAGGCAGAAAGTGTTTAGAGCGATTGCGAGAGGTTCCTAGTACAGTCTCGTGAGCAGCCCGTACAGCGAGGCTAGAATTAGTGAGAGTATTGGGCCCAGGGGCAACTTGCCACTTTGGGACCTTACAAGACTCGTCTTAAGTAACCAGGAGATGTATGTTTTTGGTACGTGTATGGTCAGCGCTACTCGACCGCTGGCTCCAGTGCGCGCAGGGGTGTCCGAAGCCCGGCATCCCTCTCTCAGCATAGAAGAACGCGCTTTCTCAAGAGTGCCCGAAATCACCGAGCTCCACGACCCAACTGCGCTTTTTCTGAGTATGTTCGACGAGGCTTGTAGGAGAGCGAGGGCGTTCGTGGTGAGGATGGGGGGAGGGGGGGGGGCGGTCGGGCTGCGGCATTGCTGAGGGGGATCACCTCCAGATCCGCTGCTGCCTCCCCTGCGCTGGTTCATCGTAAGTAGCGGCCAAGGAGCACAAAAACAGCGAAAGTAGCAAACATCAGAGAGAGCGTGATCCACCGCCGCTTTACTGTGGAAAATTGCCAACCTTTTCCTCCGGAACCCGGGGGTCTCCCCCCCCCCCCTCCGAAAATCCCCCCCCCTGCTGGAACCCCTCCCCCCCCCCCTCCCCCGCAAAACCCTTCCCCTCCCCTACCCCCCCCCCCCCCCCCCTCCCCCGAAAACCGGGGGGGGTCACTACCGGTTGGAACCCCCCCCCCCCTCGAAAACCGGAGGGGGGTCACTACCGGTTCGACCCCCCCCCACGCACCGCCAGCAAACGACTCCCGGTCCCTACCACCGCTCGCATCACATCCCCCACTGTTGTTCCCAGCACCACTGTCCTCACCACCACTGTCCCCACTGGTTCCACCACCGTCCCTATTGTCCCCACCAATGCCCCCACCACTGTCGCACTGTCCCCACTGTTCCCACAACTGTTCCCACCACGGTTCCACTCTCCCCACTGTCTCCACGGACCCAACCACTGCCTATCCCCATTGTCCCCACTGTCCCACTGACTCCTCCGCTGTCCCACTGAGCTGTCCCACTGTTTCCACCACTGTCCCCACTGTCCCCACCACTGTCCCCACTGTACCTCTGTCCCATTGTCCCACCGCCGTCCTCGCCACCGCCTTTACCAGTGTCCCCACCACCATTGTACCCTCCACTGTCCCAGTGTTTCCACCTCATTCCCACTGTCCCCACACCACTGTCCCCACCACCACCGTTCCCACCACTGTCCACTGTCCCCCCTGTTCCCACCATTGTCCCCACCACTGTCCCCACCACTACCGTCCCCACCACTGTCCCACTGTCCCCCCACCACCACTGTCCCGCTGTCCCCTCACCACTGTCCCCACCAACACCGTCCCCACCACTGTCCGCACCCCCACTCGGTTTTCGAGGGGGGGGGGGGGGTTCGAACCGGTAGTGACCCCCCCCCCTTTTCATGATGAGCTGGGGGGGGGGGGGGAGGGGTTCGAACCGGTAGTGACCCCCCCCCGGTTTTCCGGAGGGGGGGGGGGGAGGGGTTCGAACCGGTAGTGACCCCCCCCGGTTTTCCGCCAGCAGCGGTAGGACACGCTCTTTCAAACATCACGTTCGCCTGCTCATTCCCCTCGGTCGACATGGCACCCCGCCTCTGCTTCTGGCAGGGCGTCGCGCTGGACGACTCGCAGCGTGCGAGCCGCCGCCCACGCACCTGCATCTTCTCCTCCGTGCGGGCGCAGGGGCTGCAAGTGGCAGACCAGGCTGCTTGGCCTGGTGGAGGAGTGCGGGAAGAGGGGGAGAGGAGAGGGATGTTTGGCGCGGGCAGGAATTTGGAGGGGAGAAGGGGGAGGAGGAGGAGGAGGAGTAGGAGGAGGAGGAGGACGAGGAGGAGGAGGAGGAGAAGGAGGAGGAAAAGAAAGGAACAATTGACACCCAAACCCGGCTTCAGTCCAACGCCGCCGAAGGTGGTGATCCAGTGATCATCCAGTTTCGATCTAGGCAACGACGGCAGCTCGACATTCAGGGCTGGGTGTAGCGACGGTCACTTGTTGGGAGAGCAATGCTCAAGAGGCTAACGCCATTACACTGGCTCCAAGAAGGGAAGATGTGTCGCTTCTGATGTCGTATGTGATGGTTCCGTTTACCGGAGTGCTGCCTGCGTGTTGTTATTGTTGGTTTGCCCCCCTCTTCATCCACATCTGTTGCGGGGCTCTTTGAGGCCTCTTGAAAGCCTCTTGAAGGCCTCGGGGACGGCCTCTTGAGCGCATTTTCAGGGCTCCTGGGAGCGTCGGGAGCCTTCTGAAGGCTTCATGGGGCTTCTTTAGGGCATTTTGGGGACACGTTGGGCATCTTGGGGGCCATTTTGCGGGAGAGGGCTCCAGGGACCCCTACGAGCTCCTTCTGTTGGGCCTTTCGTGCCCCTCTTGGGGCCCTCTTGATTTCTTCCCCAACCATCTTGTCTTGGGTCCTCCTTTTGAGGAGACAGCGCCCCGCGTCTCCTCTTCTTCTTCCTCCGCCCTCCTCCCCCTGCGTGCCTCGGACCTTCGCATGCCCATCTCGGCACACCCCTCACTTGTGTAGTGGCCCAATAGGGAGTTCCACCGAAGGCCAAAGTGGCTGCGTTCGCATGGCACTACCGCACTCATGTCGGCACGCCCCTCACACGCTTCGTGGCCCCATAGGGAGCCACACCGAGGGCAAAAGTGTTTGCGTTCGCATGGCACCACCGCACAGATTGCGGCACACCCCTTACACGCTTCGTGGCCTCATGGGGAGTCCCACCGAAGGCCCAAGTGGCTGCGTTCGCATGGCACCACCGCACACATGTCGGCACACCCCTCACACGTTTCGTGGCCCGATAAGGAGCTCCACCGAAGGCCCAAATTGCTGCGTTCGCATGGCGCCACCGCGCCCATGTCGGCAGGCCCCTCACACGTTTCGTGGCCCCATAGGGAACTCCACCGAAGGCCCAGGGGGTTACGTTCGCATGGCACCACCGCACCCATGTCGGCACACCCATCACACGGTTCATGGCCCCATAGGGAGCCCCATTGGAGGCCCAAATGTGTGCGTTCGCATGGCACCACCGCACACATTTCGGCACACCCCTCACACGTGTCGTGGCCCCATAGGAAGCTCCACCGAAAGCCCAAGTAGCTGCGTTCGCATGGCACCACCGCACGCATTTCGGCACATCCCTCACACGTTTCGTGGCCCCATAGGGAGCCCCACCGAAGGCCCAAGTAGCTGCGTTCGCATGGCACCACCGCACGCATTTCGGCACATCCCTCACACGTTTCGTGGCCCCATAGGGAGCCCCACCGAAGGCCAAAGCGGCTGCGTTCGCATGGCACCACCGCACTCATTTCGGCACGCCCCTCACACGCGTCATGGCCCCATAGGGAGCCCCACCGAAAGCCCAGGGGGGTGCGTTCGCATGGCACCACCGCACACATGTCGGCACACCCCTCTCACGTTTCGTGGCCCCATGGGGAGCCCCACCGAAGGCCCAAGTAGCTGCGTTCGCATGGCACCACCGCACGCAGTTCGGCACATCCCTCACACGTTTCGTGGCCCCATAGGGAGCCCCACCGAAGGCCCAAATTGTAGCGTTCGCACGGCACCACCGCGCCTATTTCGGCAGGCCCCTCACACCTTTCGTGGCCCCATAGGGAGCTCCACCGAAGGCCCAGGGGGTTGCGTTCGCATGGCGCCACCGCACCCATGTCGGCACACCCATCACACGGTTCATGGCCCCATAGGGAGCCCCACCGAATGCCCAAATGGTTGTGCTCGCATGGCACCACCGCACGCATTTCGGCACACCCCTCACACGTGCCGTGGTCCAATAGGGAAGCTCCACATAAGGCCAATGTGTCTGCGTTCGCATGGCGCCACCGCACTCATTTCGGCACGCCCCTCACACGCGTCGTGGCCCCATAGGAAGCCCCACCGAAGGCCCAAGTGGCTGCGTTCGCGTGGCACCACCGCACACGTATCGACACACCCCTCACACGTTTCGTGGCCCCACAGGGAGTTCAATCGACAGCCCAAATTGCTGTGTTTGCATGGCACCACCGCGCCCCTTTCGGCAGGCCCCTCACACGTTTCGTGGCCCCACAGGGAGCTCCACCGAAGGCCCAGGGGGTTGCGTTCGCATGGCGCCACCGCACCCATTTCGGCACGCCCCTCACACGTTTTGTGGCCCCATAGAGCTCGAATGAAGGCCCCAGTGGCCGCGTCCGCATGCGCCCTCCCCGCCCACCGCACGTCCTTTTCCTCCTCCCGCTGCAGGCCGCTCATTGCATCCACGGTTCGTGGTCCCATCCGAAAGATGGACCCAGAACGCGGTATCCACAATTGTTTATTGTTGGGTCCTTGATCAGGATAAGTTTAGCTGGCTTGGAGGCCTCTTGTGCAGGCTTGGGGCCCTCGTGGACCATTTTCAGGCTCTCATGGGGGGCTTTGCGGCCATGTTGGGCAAGTCAAGGAGGCTTACCGGACCGCTCTGGGTTTTCAGAAGCCCGAAATTGCAAGAACGCGATAACCATTCAAATTCGAAAAGGGGGATCCACGGTCTTGCCCTCTTGATGCAGTTTTGTATATTGGGGGTTCCTTGGGAGTTATCTAGGCCACTTGGGCAGTCTTGCAGCCATCCTGGATGTTCTGGAGGACTCCCTGGCGCGTTCGGGCCATTATGTGGCCATCTTAGACGGCACCACTGGAGACCGCGGAGGGCGGACTTGGAGGTTCCGAGGGTCAGGGAGGTGCGCTGGTGAGCTCGTCCCCCCCTCCTCTCTAATTGGAGTTTGGATCCCGGAGGGGGGGACAAGGAGAGAGGATAGCCAAACGTCTCACACGCTTTTTCACTCCCGGCCAGCGGGGGTCGGCAGATTTGTTCTAAGCATTGGGCCTAGTCGTGGCGAACTCCCAACCAAGGGGTATAGAAGACAGCGTCAAAATGAAGAACCTTTGCCACTCCATCGCGCTCAAGGTGGATCTTCGCGGTCGTCGTTGGCCCATTGTGCGAAACGAGGCCAGAAGTGCGCCATGGGGCACAGGAAAATTGTCTCAGGCTGTCGCACGGTGTTAGCGGAGCCCCCCAGTCCTCCCACCAGAGGAGGAGACTACAGCTTGACGACCACGACCTCACGGCACAGGTTATTGACGTTTGGGGAATGGCGGCCGTCACCGCAGTTGAGCACGAGCAGGTGGCGATGGGCGTCGTGCTCCTCAGGGCCGCCCTGACCTGCATCCACAGCAGTCGCTCTTGGGCAGCAGCATGGTTCTCAAGCACCCGATCATCCCGACCCGGCAGCTCACGGCAGCCAGCGCAGATCAGTTCCCACAGACACAGAGCGTCATGCGCATGCCATGCGTCGCCAGCGCCAGCTTCGGTCACAGCGTCTTCGGCGCCAGGCCGCAGAAGCCCGCCGTCACAGCCACTGCACCTGACTGGGCTCAGACAAGCACTGCGAGCGCTACCAGGAGGAGGCTAGTGCAACCACCCCAACGGCCACACGGCCTCCATCGGCAGGAGTTCCGACGGCTCGTTCCGTTTCACGTCCTTCGTGCGGTACCCGCCACGGCAGTGACACGAGATCGCGGCCACCATCGCCATCCGGCGATACATCCAGTTTTCGTTTGCGACCTCCCCGACGAAGCGGTAGCAATTTGAAGGGCAGAGTCAGGATGATCCTAGAAGAGGAGGGGGAGGGGATTTGGAGGGAAGACGCATGTCCGCTCAGCGCATGTATGACCCCTGGGCCCTTGGCTGCTCCCCATTGCGCCCCGTTCGAATCCCTTCCTCTCGCAGCCCTCCCCTCCCTCCCTCCATCCCTCCCTCCTCGTTTCCTCCATCCTGCCTTCCCTCCCTCGCTCCTTTCCCCCCCTCCCTCCCTTCCTCCTCCATCCCTCTCTTTCTCGCTCCTGCTTCCCTCCCTCCTCACCTCATCTTCCCCTGCTCCCAGCAAGGTAGTGTTATGCGATCGCAACGGTTTCCATGAGGCCGTGCCCGCCCGAGCGCCCGTCGGCAGCGGGTGCGGGGGGGGGGATCGGCGCGTATGTGGCACGCCGTCGGGCGCGCGTGCGCGATCGGCGACCTCTTTGAGGTGTCAGCTAAGAGCTTCGTACGTTGGAGCCTGGAGCTTTGAGCTTTGGCCTTTAGTTAGCTCTGTAGCTTCAGCTTCACACCTAGAGCTTACGTTAGCCTCCCATGCATGTCGAAAGCAGCTGTGCTGTTATCTGATTGCGTGCGGCAAACACGGCCCCGGGGCCAGCGATGCAGCAAGGTGGCTCTAATTTCGATCTAGCAGGTGTAGCCATGCTTACACCTTGGTTCTACCACGGTTCTACGGGATCTCCTGAGACCACCAGCACTCTCCTAGCCCGTCGTGGGCATGAGCGTGCGCATGAATGTGTCGGGGACGTATGTGCACGTCAGATCGCGGGGGCCAGTCTTACATTGTCCCTTGGTGCGTGGCTGAAGTGGGGGTCCGCGGTGCTAATTGAAACTCTTGTTTGTCGCCCCCGCCGCGCGACCCGCCCTTCTTCCCCGCTCGTTCCTCTCTTCTCCCCTCGTTCGTTGTTAGTAGAGGAGGCCAAGTGGCACTTACGACCACCAGTCAGAGGTCCCCAGGTTCGTTCGCCGGATTCCTCGTCCCTGCATTTCCCGATCTTAAAAGTCCCTTGATTTCCTCGGCATCGTTTGGATCCTTGCGCTGATTCAACTTAGCACGAGGCTTGACAATCGTATTCGAATGGCATCGTGTTTCAGACCAGGCTGATTTGAATCGTTCTGACATGTTTTCAGTGTTTGGTCAAGTGCTATTCCTCGCGTTGCATTTTGTTACGTTGCCATTGCGTGTGCTTTACATGCGCTGCCATTGCAGTACCACGTCCCTTTCACTGAGTTACCATGCGTTGCGTTGCGTCGAAAGTTGGCACATGTGTACCCTTGTATACTCAGCCCGTGCTTTCTTAGTTGACATCGGATATCAGGATGTGTCCAGCCAACTTGTGGTTACGCACATGCTTGCAGCTGGGTCGTATCAACAGTCCGATCCGCGCGCGAAGCGCATGCGCCCGCGTAGATGTCGCGTACTTACCGTACCTAATACAGAGATCTTGAAGAGGCATGAGAACACTCCATTGCTTACGGCACGATACGGGGTTAGCCCACGTATGCTGCGCAGAAGTTTTGGATAGGCTTGGGGGAGGAGTCTGTAGTGGGCGTCCGGGCAGGAAGCTCTTTCCACGATGCGTGTTGTGAAGAGTCGCCTTCAGCTGAGAGCAGGACAAGGAGGAGGGACGTCGCTGAACACATATTCGAGTTTGGTTGGGTGTGGCCAGTTCTCCCGCCCCCGCCCCCCACCCCACCCCACCCACCCGACTCCGCGAGGTGCCGAAGGAGGTCGCCCCAGATGCTTTGGAGTCCATGTTGCTCGCCCACCAAGGCGCCCGTGGGTGGGCCAACTCGGAATCGTAAGGGCGAGCATGGTTACAACAGTATGTCCGTAGTGTTGTCCTGCTTGAGGAGTGGGACGAGGCGGTAGAGGATGCGGACGGAACGTTGGGATGACTTTCGTTTCCCGCATTGACGGTGTATTCCGATTTGCCACGTATGAGGGCGGTGAGAAAGGAAACAGGTGGGCGAAGAGAGGGGGCAGAGGAGAAAGGAGGCAGAGATCAGACGCAGGATCTCGAGCAAGCAGGTTGGCAAATGGGGTACCCGCAAGAGCCCGAACCAGCGAGTGGGTTAGTTTACGGCGGGCACCAGTCGAACGAAGTGGACGCGTCGCCCAGATGCCCTTATTCCCACTCGGTCTCCTCCACTTCCTCCTCTCCCCCCCCACCCCCTGAGCACACTCCGTCAGCGCGCAGCAAGTAGCCACTGGGGATGCATACCTTGCTCGGCTTGCGATGGGCTTTCTCATGACCCATGCTTGCGCCACGGCAGGAAGACCCACGAACTTAGCTTTCTGGGGGTTCAGAGCTCTCGCTCCAGCCGAGCGCGTTCGATGTACGCGTACCTCGCCGGCCCCACATCGGGCCTGGCTTGAGCCGACCCGCCGGCGTTCCGATGCAAGTTCGACTTCGCCGTGACTCAGTTCGACCTCGTGCTCTTGGAGCCAGTGCGCGCGGTGGGACCGTATGCTGTCAGTGTTGGACTCCTCCACAGGGGCGTCATCAAGGGCGCCCTCGCTGGCGCGAAGTTGTTCGCGCTTCGCGCTTCGGCTCCGATTCCTCCTCATCCTCTTCTTCTCCCTTGGGTGGGTGGCGCGAGAGCGCGAAGATAGGCGCCCTTGCGTCACCCATCAAGCTTCAATACAAGTGGAAGGCAGATGATGGTGATGATGATGATGATGATGATGCCGCTGCTGCTGGTGGTGGTGATGGTGGTGGTGATGATGAAGATGATGATGGTGATGATGATGATGACGATGACGATGACGATGACGATGGTGATGCTGATGATGATCACGTTGATGATGACGATACTGAGGATGGTGATGCTGCTGATGATGCGAATGAAGAGAATGGTGATGATGATGGTGGTGGTGATGATGCTGATGCTGGTGATGATGATGCTGGTGATGATGATGTTATTGATGCAGATGGTGATGATGATGACGATGATGATGATGATGCAGAAACTGATGATGATGGTGATGGAGATGGTGATGATGAAGATAGTGATGATGATGACGGCGACGATGATGATGATGATGATGATGATGATGATGATGATGATGATGATGATGATGATGATGATGATAATGATTACGATGACGATGACGATGACGATGACGATGGTAATGATGATTACGATGATGACGAAGACGACGACGCTGACGATGATAATGAGGAGAAGGATGGGGAGGATAGGGCAGGGCCAGGAGGGGGACAGAGAACAGAGGAGGAGGAGGAGGAGGAGAATTTTGGAGGAGGAGGAGGAGGAGGATGAGGATGATTATGATAATGAGGACGAGGGACAGAGAACAGAGGAGGAGGAGGAGGAGGAGCAGAAGCACGGAGGACGAAGGACAGAGAAAGAGCAGGACGAGGAGGAGGAGAAGAACGGAGGACGCGTGACTGACATGGTCAGATGAGGAGGAGGAGGAGGAGAACGGAGAACGGAGAACGGATAGCAGCGAATGAGGAAGAGGAGGAAGAGGAGGAGGAGGAGGAGGAGGAGAACGCAGGACGGAGGACGGAGGAGGAGGTTGACGACGACGACGGAGGAAGATGGGAGAGTAGAGGGAGGGAGAAAGAGGAGGAGGAGGGAGGAGGAGGCGTCGGAGAAGTAATAGGAGGCGGAGGAGGGGAACGAGTGGGAGTAGGGGGAGGATATCCGGCCTCTCATCGGCGATCGGTTTCTTTGAGAGCGTCCTTTAGGTACACCCGTCGTCGAAGGAAGCGTGCATTCGCATCCTGCATGCCTTGATTGCATCTGTGTGTCCTGCTTTCTGCCGCACGACTCGTGTTCGGCATTCTCATGATTCAGGTGCGGACTTCGACGCCCCAGTGGCCGGACATGTAAAAGTGCATGGTCTCTCCTTCTCAGGTCGACAGTCAGTTAGCGACAGCAGCATAGTTTCAGCTCGCAGCGGGCTGTACGGCGCGGGGAGGGGGCTCCCAGGCTCGCTCAGCGCTGCCTGAGGCGGAGGTGTGGGCGCGCACGCGCGCGGCCGCGGCGCTCGATTCCCTCTCCGCGCCTGACCCCGCAGAAACGTGGCCTGATCGTCTCCTGCAGGGGAATATCAGTAGGAAATGCGGACGTGCATACGCTTCGCGTTTTTTGCTGAATTTCCTTGCGGCCGTGGACACGGTGGCCAGGTGCTTTCAGGCCAGAAGGGGATCCAGGGCAGTACGGTAGGTTCGCGTCGTGTCGGGGCGGAGGCGACCCCAGCGGGCGTTCAAGGTTGAACAGTGCCAGTGCCCAGAATCGGCTGGCATGAAACGATCCTGCGAGATCGGAAAGCCGCGTGCGTTGATCGATCCACGCGGAGTCAGAAACCAACGCCGACATCGTCACGACGCGAACCCGTCTTCCCCACAGCCGCGTCTGTGGATGACCCATGGCCGACTCCCTTCCTGACAGAGGCTTGGGCGAGGCGAGACGCCGCGCCACCACCCCAGACCTCGACGAGGTCTTCGAAGAAACATCGGCGGCACTACCTGTAGAGGAAGAGACGGAGGAGGAGGAGGAGGAGGAGCAGGAGGGACAAGGCAAGTAGACACGACACGGGCAATGCCTTCACAAGGGGCTCAAACGTTCGGCGGCATTGGCGCAGAAGTAGGAACATGGACAGGGAAAGGCGCCAGTGGGGGTTGTCATGGAAAGAGGCTCGTCGCAGAAGTGGTCGGTAAGGCCGCGCCCGAGAATGGGGTCTTGTGCTGGGAACGGCGGGTGCGCCAGGGCCTTTCAGTCGGCCTTATGAACGTAGAAGTGGCGAGAAGGAGACGGATGTCAAGGAGTTGGAGGAGGAGTATGCACGAGGCAGACAGCCATGCCATCAGCTAGACATCGACGAGGGACTTGCAACGGCAGCGCTGCCGCTCTGGGCAGCCTTGCGCGGGTCAAGCTTGGGCTGACGCGGTCTACCCCGACCACCGTTGATCCCCAGCAGGGGAAGAGGATGAGGTGGAGGAGGAGGAAGAGGAGGAGGAGGAGGAGGAGTTTCTACCCGTGTGTGAATGCCCTGCATGCCTAGTTTCGTGGGCCCTTTTTTCCCCAAACAGCTTGCTGAACGGGGTGCTGTTGTGATAGAAGCTAACTCCGGCCGAGGGAAGGGGAAGCAGAGACATCCTCACAACAATTCCATGGTCCAGGCCGTTTCGCTTGAGACATCCTCACAACTCTCGTTTCTGAGTTGGCTGGGATTGGCCGTTTCGCCTGAGACATCCTCGAAAAGTTCCGCTCCGGGACGCCGCGCGAGAGGTGGTCCGGGCCGTTTCGCTTGAGACATCCTCGAAACTCTGAGCCCCGAGGTGCCGTGCGAGAGGTGGTCGGGCCCGTTTCGCCTGAGACATCCTCGCAACTCCGGGCTCCGAGATGACGCTTGCGAGGTGGTTCGGCCCGTTTCGCCTGAGACATCCCCGAAACTCGGAGCCCCGAGATGCTGTGCGAGAGGTGGTCCGGCCCGTTTCGCATGAGACATCCTCGCAACTCTGGGCTCCGAGATGCCGCTTGCGAGGTGGTCCGGCCCGCTCCAGGAGTTGGAGGTTGGTCAAGCCAGCCTTGGCAACAGGACCGCATGGTTCCGCCAGGCCCCGCAGGACTCCGCTTTCTCTCTCTCTCTCTATCTCTCTCGCAGAGCAGAGTCCGCAGATGACAAACAAGAATACAGGGACTTGGCAGTGGGCCTGGGCCGAGTGGGATTCGTGAATCACCCGATCCGCGACCATCGTGCCAGTTGGCGCTGCAAAAGAATCGGCTTGCAATTTGCCCTGCTACGACACGGCTGGGCCAACTAGTTCACAACCTCTTGTTTGGACCCCCCTCGGCTCTCTAGACCCCAGCGGCACGAACTACGGGAGCCGACCTTGCTTTTGCAACCCTTTCGGCCGCACGATGTGGTGTTTCTCGAAGTTAGGCTGTGGTGGAATGTGCTGGATTCCCCCCGCCACCCGAGGGTCCACACGCGCACACTCTTCCATCACAGCCACCAGCTGCTTCCGAACACGGCTCGGGAGCTTCCTGGAACGTCTAATCTATTGAGCTTCGGTTTCCGAGAGGTGAACACGGTGCGCAGTTGCCTCCGCTTGGCTAGCAGGTCATTGGTTTGAGCCACAGTTCAGGGATGCTCCGAAATCCGGCACACTGCACACTCGAATGAGACTCCACCCTTTGGGTGAACGGCGTCACCTCACCGAGAGCTAGCTGCAGTCGCCGCCAGAGGTCCCGAGTGGTCCGAGGGCACGAGGGCGCTTCCGACGTGGCCTGGCGACACCTCGAACAACGCAGTTCGGGTCCGCGATGAAGCAGAGAACCCGCCCAGGACCCGCGCAGCCTTCCACCCACTGAACTACAGCCCAAACTTCGGCTATATTCGAGGCGTGCATGGGTCCTAAGAGGTCTCTTGACATGCCTGACATCGAGCCCATTTGGGGCCAAAGCGGGTTACAACAAGTAGAGGCGATCGTGCACACATTCCAGGATGAGCGGTGGAGACGCAGATCTTTGGAGTAGGACCCCCCCGACCCGTTGCCTGCCCCCCACCATTCATTTCTTGGGGCGAGTCCCTCGCCACCCGCCTCGCGCTGCCACTCCCACTTGTTTGCTTCGTCGCTTCCGCGCCGAAGGTAGAAGACCACGCAACCAAACGGCAGGGCACGACTCCCACTCCTCTGCAGCCTAGGTCTCCAGGTCCACGAAGTCCAGGCACTCCTTGACGGCACAGTTTGCCGCGCATCCCCACGATCGGTGGACCTCCGTCTCTGTAGCATGGACGGAGTAGCGTTGGCAGAGAGACGCCTCTCATCAATCATTCCGACTTCGAAAATCCTACCTCCGAGTAGTTGCAGCCAGGGGTAAAGAGAAAGAGGAGGACAAGGAGGAACAGGAGAAGGAGTAGGTTGTTGAATGCGTGGAAAGAAAACGGGGAAGGATGAGAACAGGTTGAGGAGGAGAAGCAACAGCTGCATAAGGAATAGGAGGAGGAAGAGGAGGAGGAGGAGGAGGAGGAGGAGGAGGAGGAGGAGGAGGACTCCTTTAGTGGGGTCTTTCCCAAGGGCGCCTGTACTTGTCACCCGCTGGCTTGTACTTGTCACGCGCCGGACTCAAACGGCAGTTGCTCCCAGATCCCCCGCCTTGGTTAGGGATTATGACACATGACCTTGACGGCAAGACCGTCGCAAGGGGGAGCTGTCCGTGCGTTTCACGCATCGGTACGGCACGTTGCGATTTGCGTGAGGGGCGCATCTGGAATTTATAACTGAGGAATTCCGCAGCGAAATGGCCCACTCATTCCGACCACAAATGCCAACTATCGTTTCTGAACTCCATTCCTTCGGAGAGTTGCGCGTGATGATGCCCAAAGGTAAATGCATATGTTTACACGGACCTCCGCACCCTTCGGCTCAAGCCGCGAGGGGACCCCCCCGTCTCGAGGAGGCGTCCGACGCACCGCCTGGGCCGCGCGCCGGCCCCCCGCGCGCGCCCCGGCGGCGCCCCTCGCCTCGCGTCGCCCTCGGCTGCCCTTCGACGCGACCGCTCGCTTCCGAATGGCGGACGACACCTGCTTGACCAGGCCCACTGCGGAACCCCCTTGCGCCCCGCCCTGCGGTCAGCGAGCGGGAGCTGGTGGGGCAACTCGCGCCTGAACCCGAGCCCGCGGCCGCGCCGAGAGACGAGCGGGGGCTGGAGAGAAGGGAGGAGGTTGCGAGGTGCGAATTTTTGGAGGCAGGTGGCCCAGCGCCCACCGCCGCAGGGGAGTCGGATGAACTTCAGGACGCGCAAGCCAGCGCTGGGGCTGCCGCAGGCCCTGACCGTTCACAGCCGATTAGACATACCTCGACGACTGACACCCTGACCCCCGTTCCCCCCCCACCGCCGCCAGGCCCAGGCAGCCCAGGGGCTGGGGAGAGCGCGGCGGTGGGCCCGTCCACGGGGGCGAGAGCTGACCGCCCGCCAAGCGCCCCGCCCCGCGCGGGTCACGCCCCGCCTGCTCCCGATCTTTCCTCTCCTACCCGCGTGCAATCTGGAGATGCGACCGTTAGTCGCCCTGATCCCGCGTGTGTCCCTGGACAGGCAGACCTTCGGCATTCCGACGCTTCGACTCCTCTCCTCCCCCCTCCCCTATCTCACAGGCAATTGCGACCGTTAGTCGCCCTGATCCCGCTCCCGACGAGCAGGCCTCCCCCGCCCCTTTCCCTGATCACTCTGGCTACGCGACCGTTAGTCGCCCTGAACCCACCGATGGCCCCGTCCGCCCTCATCCCACCGCTCCTCCCCCCCCCCCCCCAGGTGGAAGTGGCGTCCGACCGACCTGTGCCCCTGAACCCCTCGCGCTGGAACGCCAACGACGCGCCCCCCCCCCCCCCCCCGTAGTTCTCGGGGCGGGCACCGCCGAGGTCCCCAGCTACTCGGAGATTGAACGGCAATGCCGACGTGAGAGGCACCCTTCACATCCTGACCCCCGACTCCGGCAACGAGCACGGCGTCGCCCTCATGACGCGCGCCCAGCGGGGCATGGAGGTGCAGGGGCACCGGCAGGAATGGGGCACTAACATCACGCAACTCGGGCGCAACCCGGAGTTTCTCCAGCAAGGGATAGAGCCGTTGGCCGATCATGCCATCAAGATCCGCATGCGGGACTCCAGTCTTGGTGACATCAACCGCGTCGTCGTGAACATGCAGGCGGCGGCCCAGCAGCTGGCGCCCGCCGACATCCCGACCGCAGTATGGAGGCAACGCGAGACCGCCGACGTCGTCCATATCCCACTGCGGCGGGGCAGCCTCTGTCTCGCCTGCCCAATCGCCGCGCAGGCCGCAGCGGCCCTTGGACACAGGGCGGGCATCACGGCATCCGGGATCATGCTCATCAACACACCGGGAGCCGCGGCAGCGCCCATCATTTCACGCGCGCCTGCGGCGCTGGCCAGCAGCGGCCAACCAGGAGCGGTGACACCACGCCGGATCACCATGGCCGACCCCTGGACAGGAGGCACATCCCTGGCGCGCACTGTGGACCCGGAGCCAGGATCACATTTACGCTGGAACGTCGCCACAGAAGGCCAGGTCGACCTGGATGCAGTCCGACGCGCGGTCCAAGAGACCCTGGGAGGCAGCGCCGTCTGGACCGTCGCGCACGTGCACTCCCGGCACTCCGACGTATACGCCGACCGGGGCATGGCTCAGGTGGTCCTCCGAGAGGGCGCGGAACAGGCCATGGGGGCGGCCTATGGGGCCGCCGGCCTCCCAACCCAAAACGGCCAGCTCATTCGCATCTTTCCTGCTACCCGCGCCAGGCAGCCCACGAGGCGCACCCCCGGCACGGAGAGCGCCCTGGACGACCACGCGAGAGAAGCAGCTCGACCTGGCGGGCGCGGCAGCCGCCAGGCGGGCGGCGGAGCGCCCGCAAGCCGTCACCATTGCAGGAATGGACCTACACGGAGTGCACGTTGGGGGGGCCGAGACACGACACCTGCACCCTGACCCCTGGCTGCCTGCCCACCGGCA